TGATTGTTATACCGGTGGACAAAGTCAAAAGTTCCATTCTATTTATATTCTATAATATAATATTTATATTATAATTATGTAAATAATAAAAATATTTAACCTTAAATAAAATATTTTAAAGACGATAATTGTAAAATTCTCATTTGTCTTAAAATTAGAATTAGAATACAAGTTAGCCTTCACCTAACATAGTTTAACTACTTGTGGGAGAATTTCATAACTATACGTATACTAACTGATGGACACGACTTCGTTTGCGAAGAATTAGTACTTCGAGTTATCTATTTTCTTCTCCAAACTTTAAAAACATATATTGATAAAATTTATGTAGGACTACACGAAAAGTACTAACTTGAATAAAAATTTCATAACACTCCCATATATGTTGATGTATTGAGAAAAGAGAAAAGGTGGAGGACCTTTTTTTGAAGTCAGTTGGATAGTAGTTGGCTTATGCCCTACGACAAGGTGCAATGAACCTCAACATCGAAATAAAATCAATTTGTTTAATGATTTAGCCGTGAAAAATAACAGATAAACTGGTAGATAGACTGTTACTTATAGTGCTGTTTAATTCCTAATTAACTTTAATGAAATTGAAAAAATACATTGTCTTAAAAAATATTATAGTAGTCAATTAATAAAAAATGTTTTGTCGGGTTTCCTTTCGTTTAATAAACAACACACCTAATTAAATATTAAACAGGCTATTGTAGACTGTAGATATACGAGTTAAATGATTGGAAACTCGACTCCGCGGGGTGGACCGTCTGGCACGCAACTGATACTGGCACGCTAACAATACGGCTATACTTTCCCGGCATTTTACTTTCAAACGCATAGTAATCGTCCAGCGACATTTTTTGCAGAAAATATAATCAACTGCCGCAATTTAATTTATACGAACATACAATAACATTATTATGCATGTTTACTTACAATTTGTTGAATTGTTGCAGGTACATAAAGAAGGGAATTGCGCTGACACAGACATTGAATTCAAGCCGATGCCAATACCAGTCAATAATTGGCACTACGATTACAGAGAAGGTAGACTCGGAACTTCCCATGAGGTTGTCGATACTTCTTACACGACTTCAGTCTCCACTATACAGGCACGTTATTGGGAAGATGCATTGAGGCATAGCGTCTATTTAACTCTAGTCAGAGATAAAATTGATCAACTTATAGCTAAAGATGATATACTATCTCCAAACAACAAACCCGATCAACAAGTTTCGAAAGAACAGGAAGATCATAATTTATGGCATAAAATTAAGAATGCACCATTCGATAGAGTTAAAGAGGATGAACATCCAACTTACGGTGACGTCACTACAATGGCTAAAGGAAGACTGGTAGAACAGGAAGGAGGTTTCAGATTCATAGAAGACGAAATGACTGTACAGAAATGTAGCGAAGACTCGTGTATGAAAGGCGTTAAAGCATTTTGGTCAGTGAAGCGTGTCAGACAACGAGATGATAATAGTTCATCAGGAAAGTATCACTACGAACTAACTTTCTCCGTGTCTCAAATGCCAAAGAAGCAACAAAAGAAACCACATGAAAATCCGATAAGAATATTCACTGTCCGCGAGAATCCACCCGATATTGTTGTAGGAAAACCATATGATTATCGAAAAAAGCCAATACAATCTCATACGCCACGTCCAGAAAGATCAGTCTGGTTTCATAAGAATATAGTACCAAATCAATACAACCAAGGTCGTCGATATCACCATAGTTTAGACAGAATTTTTTCGTCTTTTTTCGCAGATGATGATACACAAGCTGAGCCACATAAATACAAATCTAGTCCATATGTACCTCCTGTTTACCAACAACATTCAAAATTAAACTACGGTAGTTCATCAAACGAACAATATCAACAAAAAAAGCCATTGCCTTATTCCTACAAACCTCATTCTTATAAATATGTTCGCCCACCTTTGTCAGCTCCACCTCTCTCTCATTTTAATCCACAACAATACGATCACGACACGCATATAAGCAATTCATTCATACCTTCGGATCCAAGATACGTCGCTCCAAGTAATATTATAAAAACAACAAGACCTGCTGTGTTACCAACACCATCAGAACCAATTCTGATGACAACAACAATAAACTACAGTATGGACTTAAACAACAAATATAATATAGCAGAAAATATAACAAAGGATTCAGAACCTATAATTTATCATAAAGTATACAATAAAGCTAAGCCAATGCCTGTTAAAATAAGTTACTTCTCAGATCACGTAAGGCCTCCAGTCTTTAACGCTCCGCCAGGAGTATTTGTAACAATGGATAAAAAACCTTTTAAACCCATGCCACCAATGAAGCTACATTCTACGAAACCTGGAAAAACAAGACCTTTAGATTTTAGACCAAGCCCTCAGCTCGATAATACGCAGTACTCTAATTCTGATTCTGTAGTGGATTCAGCATTTAGACCGATTCTCGTGGGATTAACAAATAATCCCAAAAATAGCAGTAAAGAGTCTTCTAATACTACTAGTAAAATCGTAAAAGACACAACGAGTAATAGAAAGAAACCACCAAAAAAGCATGAGAATATAAAATCTCAAAAAGTCACGACATCTGCTCCGGACATAATTACTGTTCATAATAATCCTATCGAAGATGACGAGTCCATGGAGTGGGCTAGTATTATAGGTGCTTTTACACGAACTACGCCTATGATATCTCAAACAGAAAAAGTTGAAACGATCGAAAATATAGAAACTACAACTGAATTGTATTCACCTACCCCTGTCGTAAGAAAAAGAACTACAGCAACATTGATTCCAGAAACCAAGGCTATTACAACACTGAAACCAAAAAAGCGCACCCGTCCTCCACCAAAATTCACAAAATCAGAAAAAATAAAAAAACATAAACGCATAACATCGACAACCAAGGCACCAGAAAAAGCTCAAGTAAAAAAACCTTTTGACGATTTGACACCTCAAGCGAGTTCCGCTGCTACAAAACCAAACAAATCATGGAAACCAATAAATGACACAGTATCTACCACTCCTTTGATAGCAACTACAGTTTCTACAACAACTAGAACATCCACGTTCACAACAACAACAACAACAACGCCAAAAGTTACTACTGCAAATATTTTAAATAATACAACAATCGTAGAACAAACATTTAAAACAATGAAACCAAAAAACAAAAATCGTTTCAGACAATCCACTTTGATGCAAAAAGGAACATCAGTCAAACACGATAAATGGAGTGTTAATCAGGAAAAAAACAAAACCATAGTACCACTGCAGACGGCGAAATATCCAAGAAGGAAAGGTTCTAATTTCCAAGGATATGCTACACCTTCCAGTCATAATAATGTAGATACGGATCATAAAATTGAAGATCATGATGATCATGGCTATTCTTCGTACAAACCAGAAGTTACTAACAAAATAGAAGTTACAAATTCAAATAATCAGGAACCCTCAACATTACCTTCATACGACAATACCGGAGATCAATATGATATAAATAGCGAATCTCCAATATTGGATCAAGACCATAAATTAGAACAAGTACCAAACACGAAATATACTGAAAGTAATAAAAAAGACCCAAGTGATCAAAGCGAATACATATTTGACATAACATCGACGTCAGCAAGTGAAATTAATGAAATAAACAATCCCGAAGAAATAATAGTAACTGAAAAGACAGTAATAGCATCTTCTCATTCGGTTTCGAAGAACAAGACTAAGTGTAAAAAGAAGAAACATAAAAACCTTGCAATTACAAGTGGGCCAAAGGAATCTTCTATTATTCAACAAGAAACAACATCAACCCCCGTTGTAAATATAAACAGTGTGACTGAGAGCATAGACGAATCATTAGAAAATTTTACTTACGATGACCTAACCGAAAATATCAAAGAAACTACTCCTAAGCTTGTATTCAGTCAAGAGGAGAGTAAGAAACATGAAGAATATCTTCCGATCGATGAAGATTTTGATGATTTCTTTAGTAATATAAACAATAAAAGACACCCTGATGATAAAAATGAAGAACAATATGAATACGAGGATAACGACAATGATCCCCAAAACGATGACTTTTCGCCATTCGATAATGAAGATGAAGACGAAACACCCCGACAGACCGATGACGACGCTTATGATGATTACCCTGAGCGGTCACTTAGCTTTCTGGAATTGATGGCCATGGAATAGACTGAACTTCAAATCCCTAAATAAATTAACTTTATAACAATCGCCTCCTAATCAATACTTAGACAGTGATTGAGCTTAAAATTAAATAATTGCCGCATGTTCTTACATTTTTATACATAGCCAACAACCCAGTTACATTTATTGTTAAAGTAACTATTCAACTGTTTGAACCTACTACATATACCTATATATATAATATATTGCCTATAGTCATACAATAACTCCATTGAATAATATTATTATTATTGATTATTCTATATATTGGTAGAGAAGTTCTTAACCAAAATTATACAGATCTATGATACACACTCTAACTATTAAAAGAAATTTCATATGCTTATGCGATGCAACATGCAATGTTTTACCGCAACAGTAAAATATAGTTCTATTTGGGCAGACAAGAAGCTTTGAACTAGTAACATCATAGTTAATGTTGTTAATTTACTTACAATGTCCAACTTGATTATGGATCTTGGAAGTATTTTTGTCTGAAGTTATTTCAAATCAAAAGTTTAAAGTCTTTGGTAAATGGTGAGCAACTAATTTTATGTCAAAACATATGCCTCTACATACCAATAGCGAATACAAAATAAACAATTATGAAGCATTTATTTTTAAAGGCATAGCTAAAATACAATACTGCACAAACCTACATATACCTACCATGTTAAGATTACCCAGTGTTACCCAAAAATGTAAATATTTTCATTATTTAAATAAGACTAGAATAAGTTGAAATATGTTTATTTTAATAAAAAAATAATATAATAATTTTATATCTTTTCTTACCTGCACCTTCCATGGAATATTTGTAAATTGGCTCCGGCTTCAATGGTACAAATGCAGAAAACGTCTCTGGTGTTATATCTTTTATCCTCTGATGGTATGATAACCTATAAATAACATTTCAAATTTGTATTTCTATAACAAAATTTTTTATCTGAAATTATTGTGAAAATATATTCTACATTTTCAAGATAATTTCAGATTAAAAGTTAAACTTTCAAATACTCAAGTTTCTTGTGTATTGTGGGTGTATTGCAGAGGTAATACATGTATGTGTATCATAGAGTGAACTATCAAGTATAACTTAAACCCTGAGACATGTGGGTTTCATATATGTCATATATTCTGAAATAAAGGTAACACTTATACTATCATATGGAACACAAACCTCAAACATTTGCCGAGCACCTCTCGTATGAATCTGGGCTTGGGGTGGTCAATATCTAGTTGGGTGCAACCTTCCCAGTCTTCCCAGGACCAGCGATATTGGAAGTTGCTTAGGTGGTATGAGAACCAATTGACAAATCTATAACAATTAAAAGTAGTATAAAGTAAAATAGTAACATTTTCTTAAATTAAGTACACAAAAACTATTAATTAAAAAAATAATTTCATGCTAATTTAATTAATTAAAATTCAGGATTCTGTTAAATATCTTCATATACTCTGTAAAGTATCTTCATATACTGTATATCTTATTTATTTATGTCTAACAATAAAACTAAAGTTATCATACCACTAGAAACAACTTCATCTGACAAATAATATGCAACCACAGTTGTGAGCATCTTGTATCACACAGGCTTCAGGGTAAACAACTACTAAATTTGATACCGAAAAATTAACAAATTTAAATAAAATTAGAAAATAGACATACCTGTCAAAACAAGCCACATTCAATGTATCAATCCTCAAAAATAGAATCTCTGTAGCTTGTGCCAATACCTGTGGCATTGATGATGGTTGAAGCTTACACAGTTCAATCAAAATAGATCCGTAAGCAATCTCTAAATATCTAGGCCTAGGTAGATTGAACAATTCTGCAAAAATTACTTCTACTATACAATATTCAAGTGGAATCTTGGCTTTGTAAGGAAAGCAAAGTAACTGTGCCGCACATTCTTTTCTTTCCAAATGATATGCCTCTATAATGTTATGGAGATGCTCCTCTATTAGGAACCTTTCAATGGAATGAGCCCCAGGCAGTACAGGACCATCAGGGCAGTCTGTGTAATCAAACATCCGGAATATAACTCGAGGCATAGGGTATGTGTCATTATCATTGTGAGGTGGTGGCTGAAACATAAACATAATTATTTATAGACAAACAATATTATCAACAGACAAAACAGAGAAGTATATTGATGAGCTACTGCCAAAGTTTGCAAGATTTAGGAATCTGCTATTGCATAACCATTTCAGGGCCCCTGTTGTGAATATGTTTTATTTATAAATTCACTATACTTATAAATATATAAACCTTTATGGGAAATAATCTAGCCCCAAATTAAGCAGTTTCTACTATTGGTGCTATACTAGACAATTAATATCAAAAATAGCCTTAAGAGAATGACACCAGTAACATGTATTTACATAGTGTGTCCAGTAACATGTATTTACCAAATTAAATTAGTCAGTCAATAATAACTCATGCATTATACACATTTCATGCTGAATTAATAAAAACGCAATCCAGCAATTTATTTGAATAAATGTCAGATCATTATTTATTTACTAGGTAGGTAGAAACTGACTAAAATTTCATACCTGTATAGCCGGCAGTGTGTGTTGCAAAGCTTCACACAAAATAGAATCAAATGCAAGATATGGCCTAGGGATGTGTTTCTCTGACCAGTTATCCTGCCTCAATTTTTTTATTTGTGACCAAAGGCAGTCCAAATATTCCTCTTGCAGATGAGGTGTGTCTGTTGACCATACCTTTAATGCTGGCCAATGTTTCTTACTCCTTTTATTAAGAAATACTTCAATAGTTACAAGTAAATGCTCAAGAAATGATTCTTTCTTCTCATACAGTTCTCTGCCTACCCATGGTAAAGTGGAGAGCACAGCAAACACAAACCAGTCCCGTCTTACTTGTGGTACTCCATCCTCATTCGCACAATCCACTAATGTTTCTAATAAAGTGATTAATGATGCTGCAGCTAGTACATGACAATTTACCAAGTCTGCTATGAACCTCAAACAATATCTGGCTGCATTCCATTTTCCTGCTTTGAGATTCTCTTTAAAAGTTTTTACAATATATTCCACAAATTCTCCTCCAAAATTGTAGTTCTTAGCATTAAGGAGACCAACTAATGTTGCATATATAGTACATTTTTCAGGCATACGTATAGCACAATCAGTAAGAATACGTAATATCTTTCCACGGAAAGTGCTCAAGTCCGCCTCTAGTACACTGGCCAAGCCTTCCAAGTTACTTTCTAGACTGGAACTGCTCTTTTCACCAACTCGCAGAATGAGTGACTCAAGTCTATCTTCTATCTCTTGATTTTCCGACACACGTCGTCGCTTCCTATGTAGTCGCTCTGAAACCATGTAAATAAAATATATGTTGTATGAAATAAACTTTTTAATCTAACCTTAAAATAATTAATTGAACTTACCGTAGCCATCGTCGTCTTCGTGAGCCCTTCTGCGATTCATAATTTTATACAATTCAGAAGAGATGGACGGTTAATTATTATAATATAATTGCTTTTTCAATGATAAATATAAAAAATAGGGTCAAAACAAAGTGTAAGCAATAAGGAAACCAAACGACATTGACTGACAATCACAGATTAACTTCAGAAGCAATGTCATCTCTGAGGCATAATAACTAAATTGGTCTACACTTGTGCTGAGATTTTGACATTTCGTAGCTTTATATTAGTGTAAACTGTCATTGCACAGTTATCAATATTAAAGAATACATATTTTATATTTATATGTACTTTTATGCATTGATTAGTGATTATTAAATATTACTAAATTAATAATATAATATTTAATTATAAAATCTTTAAATTACATACATAAAATGGTGTAATACTAAAATTTTTAATATAATTGTGAATATTTTATATTATTCATTAGATGAAAGAAATGTTCAAATGGTCCTTACTATTACCACTACAATACTCAAATACAGTTACAATTAATGAAGTAGAATTATCACTATAATGTCTTGTAACTATGCAGACGGATTGTCGCCTTATGAACACAAAGGTATCTTGGGCATCCCGGAGGTTAGTTGATTCTTAATATAATCAGTAGTATGTATACTGCCTACTGTATGTATACTTAAACGAGTACCTGTAATCCATTCAAATATTATAAATGCGAGTTTCCGCTGACGGGGCACCAGTGGAAGATGATAGAATTAGCTTGAAGTCAGGTTAATTAGCCCACTGTAGTAAATTCACCAGTACTCTATCACAATTGTTTCCAGGGGAAATTGCTTGAAGCAAAGGGGTCATCAGTCCACATTACTAAGTATTCCCTTTCCTTCTCTGTATTGTTGTTACGTTTATATTTATCTCAAAAAGGCAGATTAAGTTGTGGATAACAGCTAGTTCTATCTATTATAGTACAATTGAGTGTGATAACTTTCAGGTACAACAAATTCTTTTCTATTGCAGAAATTTGAGTCAATTGATAAATTCAACAAAAAATGTGAATTGCTTGCACAATTAATCAGCAAGAGTAAACATGTAGTAGTGCATACAGGAGCAGGGATCAGCACTTCTGCTGGTATACCTGATTTCAGGTTGGTACCAATTTGAGACTATAACTATTGTCTTTGATCACCTATAGCATTTTAATTAGAGGTCAATTAAAGGACACCAGTAAATGTAGCTCTAGGTTATCAAATATTTTTTATTGTTCACATAAGGGTATAAAAGTTACCAAAAGTTCGTCAAAGAAGTATATGAGTTGATCTTGTAATTAGACAGGCTAAGCAACCTGAATCTACAATTATGAAAATGCTATTTATCTATCACCCTCACCATTAAGTATTTCTATCTTTTCTAAACTAGTGACACTATTGGCTTTGTTTTGCATAGCTATGTAAATTAACTTAACCATATACAATCTTTAAACTGAAATCATTGTTGATGTATGAAAATTTCTGAGATAATCTGAACATACAGACAGAAGGACTTTATTTTATAATATGATAAACACCAGACTAATCTGTACAAAAAAACTTATAACATCAACTAGACCAGGATGCTGGCGAAGTGTTTGACGAGTACACATGCGTTAGTGAGAATTTAAATTAAATTAAGTCTTTTGTACGACACTGTAAATCTTTTTGGTGTATTGTGTTAGTGGTATTATGTGTGTTGGTGGTGGTTAGTATTAGTTAGTAGTGAAACTATTTGTATAAACTAATTTTAAATAATAAATCGACTTAGACACAACATGGATGGCAATGAGTCTCCTGATGAACCCCCTGACCCATCTGGTGACTTATTTGTTTATTCACCTGTCTTAACAGTGCCATCAGAAGATTTCGAGACTTCAACTAGGAAAAGAACCCTAGACCCCACTTCAGAAAATCCAACTCCTAATAAAGTAGCAAAACAGGTAGTAGGACGAGTAAAATACTCACATGCCGATAAATCCCGCTATCTTGTACGGATAGAGACAGACTCTCAATCAGGCACTACCATTCATCCTATTAATTTTGGACAATTTTTATATCAAAATAAAATTGCTAATATTCTGCCAGATGGTGTTAAACGTGTAGGCCTTAATAGAATATCGGTAGAGTTTACAACAGCTGCTGACGCAAATGCATTCCTATCTAACAGTTTATTAATACAAAAAGGCTATACATATATACATCCATCATATAATGTCACTAGGGTAGGTCTTGTCCGTGACATTCCAACAGATTGGACTCACGAAGACATAATAGAAAACATAAAAGTCCCAACTGGTTGTGGACAAATTATTAAAACAAGAACTAACTTTTCTTGATAGTCATCAAGAAAAGTTACTTCCGATGAATCAGTTGACTGGAAACTTACTCAAACAGTAGTTTTAACATTTGATGGACAAACCTTACCAAAACATGTTTTCTGTTGTTATAATTCTCTTCCTATAGAGTTATACCAATATCCCATAGTTCAGTGCTATAGTTGTTGCCGATATGGTCACACAAAAGATAAATGTAGATCGAAGCCAAGATGTTATAAATGTGGTCAGAACCACCTAGGTTCCTCCTGTGACATTTCAGAAGCTGAAGCTTCTTGCCTTCACTGTTCTGGATATCATTATGCAACTAACCGAACTTGCACTGAATATCTAAGACAGAAAAACATAAAAGCTATGATGGCTGAACAAGCAATTTCATATGATGAGGCATCTAAACATATTCCACCTTCTACCCGTTCATATGCAGACGTCACAGCTTCAATGTCTCATTGTCAACCTCCTTAATCCTATCACCAACCTAAATTTACATCTCAAAACAAATTAGGAAAATCAAATCAAAACGCTACAACATCGTACAAAAAAACAATATTCCTAAAACCCAAGTCTCGCCCTGCCCAGACACCTGGGTATGACCGTCATGCCCATGAAGAAATTGTAAATAGTTATGTTTTTCCCTCTACTATGAAAAATGGTTGTGCTCTTTCAAATAATTCTCCTTCTCCATCTAGTGACTCCCCACAAGAAAACCCCCTTAAGACTTTAGAACTAATACTTAATATGTTAACTTCATTCATATCGGATAATTCCAGACCATGTTGCTGATCAAATTGTATCTCTTGCTTTTATCAAAAACCATAATGGATCTAAAAGTCCTACAATGGAATGCTAGAAGCCTACAGACAGGATGGTTATGCTGGATCTGTCATCTTCGTTGAGAACTCACAGTCTAGTTCTCTCATCAATCTACCTCCTCATGCTGATGATATCAATATTGTTGCTGTCAGAGTTTTAGACATCTCCATAGTTTCCATTTATGTTGCTGATCCTCAATCTTGTTTGATTCCCTATTTAAAAAGTATAATAGAAAATTTACCCCCACCAATTCTGGCCCTAGGTGACTTTAATGGACATCAATTTTCATGGGGATCTGAAACCTGTGATCATTTTGGTTCACTATTATTAGAGGTAGTAGATGAACTAAACCTATGTGTTCTTAATGGTGGTTCTCCAACTCTTGGAACCTACCCAGGCAAAAGTTGTGTTGATGTCTCATTATGCTCCCCAGATCTAGCCTCTCTTTTCCATTGGTCGTGCTTACCAATGTCTCACAGTAGTGATCATTTCCCTATTCTCATTTCTTTACAATCTAAGATACTTTCACAGAAAAATCTACCACCTCTATTAAAATACCGCCTATCTGCAGCTAATTGGGATTTATATACTGAGTTGACAGAAAATAAAACTAACTCTTTACCTATAATAAATCGAAATGACATTTTAGTCGCATATTCAAAGATGATAGAAGTTGTTGACAGCAGTGCGAGCGAAAGCATCCCTCTCAAAAAGCCTAAACGACAGAAAGTTTCACCTCCGTGGTGGGACAAAGAGTGCACTGCAATGATAAAATCCCGTAACGAAACAGAATATGCTTATAATACTGACATGACATTAGAAAAGTTCATCAAATTTAAATGTACATCTGCTAAAGCGAAACGCTTGTTCCATAAGAAGAAACGAGATAGTTGGAAACAATTTTGTGACAGTCTCACACCTCGCACACCTTCATCTCTTGTTTGGCGTAATATTAATAATGTATTTCGAAAGGCATGTATTTCTCGAGGCTTCTCAGCAATGTCAAAGAAAACAGTAGAAATATTATTTGACAAACTGGCCCCTCCATCAGTTTGGATCCTGCTCACAGTGGAATTATAGGCAATGAGTGTGCAGACTCATTAGCAAAATTTGCAGCTAGCTATGGTGGAGATAGAAAGTACTATCAAATAGATTGTAGCGATATTACAGCCTACCCTATAAAAGACCTCCGTGATGCTTAGACAAATAGTTGGAAGGATTCCTCAAAAATTACTGGTCGATTTTACTATTTTATTCAACCAAACATACCTGTAAAGCCTTGGTTCGCCAAATATAGAAAATTGCCGAAAAAAATTGTTTCTGTAATATGTAGGTTGCGCATAGGGCATTGTTGCTCACCAGTATTTTTACATAAACATAGAATCAGAGATAACTCCCTTTGTGAATGTGGACATGAGGAGGGAGATTTAAACCATATTTTCTTCTCTTGCCCACTAAACCGCTCCAATTTAGTGTATCCACAGCTTATTAAAGAAAAAATTCCCCTGCCAGTCAACTTAGCGAATATTTTAAAAATTTCCTTTGAAAATCCTAATGTTTTATGGATAATTGTAAATTACATTAAAAGTAATAACATTAAAATCTAAATATGTATTAATTAAATAAATTGCCTACTTACAAAATATATCTACCTATATATTATATTCTATTAACTACTAACCAAATTTGTGTTGTCCTTTCTAGTTTCTACACTAGAAAGACTAAAATTAATTGGTCTTTTGGATATACTTTTTGTCTCCAGTGCGTGCCTCTGATACATGACGCTGGCATAAATGGTCGTAAAAATAACGACCGATTGCCATAGAAGAAAAGAAGAAGAAGAAGAACATCAACTAAATAGCATTTGTTCTGAATTTACAGAGGCCCGAATGGAGTATGGACTTTGGAAAAGGAGGGCAAAAGACCCACCACAGATATATCTTTTGCTGATGCCAAACCAACCAAAACACATATGATTCTAAAAAAGTTAGTGGAATGTAATAAGGTCCACTACATTGTAAGTCAGAATATTGATGGTCTGCATTTAAAATCAGGACTTCCTAGAAAATTCTTAGCTGAGTTGCATGGGAACATGTTTGTTGATGAATGTAATGTCTGTAAGAGGTGAGAAATACTATGTACATTAATTTATTTATTTCTATCTGTGTAAATGCATGATCCCTCATAATGGAGAATAGTGAGAGTGCTATTGGCATCCTTCCTCTTGCTTATAGATTCCTCCATCAGACAATATATATTAATTAATAAATCTGATGATGATAAATTAGCCTGGACTTCCTTTAGTGCAATAAAAATAAATAGTAGTGCATCCATCCACTTTTGTATTGTATATCTGTTTATTTCTGTATAAATAAGTAAGTTTGAATGGAAAATGATGATTATTTATAATGATTACATATAATTGTTTGTCCTTCTGAAATAAAATCACAATAAATTGCCCAGTCTACAATTTACATTGTAACAAAGTAATTATTTCATAATATACTTCTAAAATTTAATTGTGTGGAAAATAATGCTAAGAAATAAAGTAAAGACACAATGTTTTACAAGTTACATCTGAGGTAGACATTGTGCAAAGTTTTCTGCACATGTATTACACATTTCAACCACCAAGCAGATTAGTTGAAGGGTAAGGCAGTGATACTACCAGGTAGGTAGGTATGGCTTAGTCCCACAAGATAACTATGCACGAGTGGTACCATAGGTATTACATGATGTTGTCATGTCCTTGGTGCTGTTAATGTCGGTTACCACTTACCCTCAGTTGCCCATCAGCTAGTAACTCAAAAAAAGCATTTTGTGTATTTGTATTTAAGCATTACACTATGTATTTTAATATATTTGTTATCGCGTTTTTAGACAATTTGTCCGCAGCCGTCCAGTAGAAACAGTGGGGAAGAAGTGTAGTGGTGTACCTTGTGCAGCTGAGCATATTGGGGGGCGGCCGTGTCGAGGCCGATTGTACGACGGCGTCTTAGATTGGGAGCACAGTTTACCGGAAAATGATCTAGTTATGGCAGAATGGCATTCTAGGTATATTTTTCAACATAAAAAATTGTGATTAATTTCTTCAAAATTAGATTCTACTAAAGAAATAAATACGTATATAGACAAAGCAAGTTATATAATCATAATTTTAAAAGCTGTTTATTGATATTATTACTAAAATACCATTTGTAATACTATTTTTATCAACAATATGAACAATTTACGTCTCAAAATTAACTATATTCTTAAAGTAGAAGTAAAGGCGTACGTAATTTCTATTGTCTAGTATTGCATATGATTCTGGTATAATTTAACTAACTGCCCAATTACAACCTACATAGAGCTTATATATTAATATTTTTTTACTTTTATCTATTCCTATATATTCTAAAAGTCGTCGTAATTGGGCAATCGTTAATCGACAATCGTCGTATTAAGGCAAAATTAATGTTAATTTTAATTAAATAATAACTTTCATAAAATATTTATTATTGTAGCATTGCAGATTTGAGCATATGTTTAGGGACAACACTTCAAATAATTCCAAGTGGCAACCTACCATTACAAACGGTTAAATATGGAGGTCAACTAGTTATTTGCAACTTGCAGCCCACAAAACATGTAAGTATTTATAAACTGTAGTTCATATGTACAATATTGTGAATGAAAGCCATACTAAAATGAATACAAATGATTGTACTGTACGAGGAGAACCCGTAACCATCGCAAGTACGGTGGTGTGAAACCTAGATCTGCTCGATCACCGACGCCATCGATCTGGTACAAATACATGATATAACACGTAAATCACAATGGTATCAACCATTGTGATTTACGTATGTTTGATTAAATATAGATTACCGAAATATATAAATAAATAAACAGAAGTAAGTTTTGAATAAAGAAAAAGGCAATGTCGTTTTTTAATAAGTCCAGTTTTTAAAATATGAGTTTTATTATGAAGTTGTTTTTATTTTACAGGACAATAAATCAGATTTAGTTATAAATTATTATGTTGATGATATTTTGGAAAGAGTTATGAATTTATTGGGTATTGATATACCAACATACTGTGAAGCTGATAATTTATGTATCCAAGCTGAATCATGTGTCATAGACTGGACAATAGAGAGAAAAGAAGTGTTGGCCCTTGAAAAAATATATAAAGCAAAATGTAAAGGTGTAAAGAAGAAAAAGCTTTTAATAAAAAATAAGAGGAACAATGCAGAACTTGTTTCAGGAAATCATTTGGAAAATATTGAAGTTAAATCAAAAGTTATAAAACTCGAAATAAAGAATGAAAATGTGGTTGATGAAGATATTATTAATAATGAAATACAGACAGATATCTTAGAAGAACATAATGTTATAAAAAATGAACAGAATGTCAACAGTGACATTGTCATTCTTGTGTAATAATATTTAGTGGTACTGAAATAAATTCGCTTTTCAATATGGATCTCAATAAAATAAACTCATTTGTATTAGTTTTATATTATAAAAGTAAAAACGATTGACATAATAGTATTGTAAACTTTCAACAAAATAAATAATTATGTCAACATACAAATATTTTCGATTTAATAAATAATCTCAAAAAATACAACTACAATTCCAATTCTTTGGTATTTTCATTAATTTCATTTGCATTATATAAACAGAATATTTAGCATGATAATATTATGCGCTCACGATAACTCGACGTTATTATAAACGTCAGGACTGATCAGTCAACCTCATCACCTCATTGAAGAATATCATGAAATATGCTGTTTATAAGATTTATATATAGGCAAAAACCTATGTATTAAATATCACATCTTAAATAGACTACAAAAGTAGAGTTTTATCTAAATTTTCATATTTATTCACCTTTTTTTTTCACTTCCACTCTGTCTTATATTTACTAAGACATTCAAATTAAAAAACGAACGTAATATATATCTAAATTTCACTAGGTTTAAAGGAATGTATTTTAAATGCATAATTGCAATGGTGTAATAATGTTGTATACATTAACAGTTACGCCCACGGTGTCACCCGCATGAAATTTATAGCTATATGATATGTATTATTCTGATGTATAAGCTATATTACTAAGTTTTATCAAAATCCGTTCAATAGTCTTTGCGTCAAAGAGTAACAAACATCCATACTCACAAACCTTCGCGTTTATAAATTTAAACAGATATTATCAACATAGAAACCAAGTCGCTTGGAAAGCTATGAGTGAAACCAACGGTAGGATCAAATTGTCAACTTGATCAGTTTTCGCTTCAACTAGACCCGTCACAGTTGCTGCCACCGCCGCGCGTATTAAAGCGTTATTTGTTTGCAATAATTCTGAAAAAAATATACATAATATTTTTTAGAAATGTAGTTATATAATACTAGATATATAATAATATAAATGTCTAGTACTAGATGCCCGTGAGTTCGAAGACATGTACATTTGCTGTTTGCAATCATTATTTATCAAACATTTGCAATTTGATGATGAACAAACGACTACAATAAACAAATATTGTTTTTTTTACAAAATAATTATTGGCTTCTTATATTTCATGAAAACTTTATCATAATTCCTCCAGCCATGAAGCCACGAAAACAATCAGATTGTTTTCGTTTCGACACCTCTTTACGGCTTGAATATTAATATATATAAAGATATAGATAATTTTATTTGATACATACCAAAAAGTTGTAAGGCGTAGACTGTAGCCACCTGTGATAGGATATTGAAAACTGTGCCTTCCAGTGTTCTATTGCTTCCTAAAAAATCAAAATGAATAAATCTAACATAACTAACATCAGCTGTCATTAGCTCTACCATAATAGGAAAATATCTAAGGACAAGAAGGGTTTTACGAATAACAATAAGAGGAGTGCATGTATTTGGTTACCTTACGAGGTAAGTAGTGGACTTACCTTTCCACTAATCAAGAACGTTGGCTGTTATACCAAAAAATAGGGTTGCCAATTCTTTGTAATAAAATAATAAATTATTGTTTCTGTATGAAAAAAAATATCGCAGAAATATCATAGGGGATCGTTAGTTATTAGTAATATGTAGTGGCTTATTAGTATATATACGACTAACCCTTTATATAAAACTGATAGTTACCTGTCCACTTGTTGAAGCCGTAGTGCGACCCGAACCAGCTAGCGGCGGTGTCGCCGATGCCGATAGCGAGCACACCGCTTAACAGCTCGAGGTCGGCACCTGCGTGTCTCGGGACCAGCACCAGTGGACACGCCAGCCCCACGTACAAATACATAGGGGTCATAGCGAAACTACCACAGTCCTGTAAATAATATTACTATGATCTTGGTGCGATATAGTTTTAAGTGATTGATTATATTTCAACAAACAATTGTACAGATATTTACTGTCATCCAATTTAATTCGTTATTGCAGAAAAATTTCATAGACTTATGTTTTGTATGGAGGACATGCAGCCTTAATGTGTTGACGTCAGTATATAGTAACAAAATACTAACCTTTTCATCACTATACACCAAGAAAGCTGATTGCAGAGCGGATGATATCGGCTCAATACGTGATTTTCTCAATGCCTGTTAAAAATAAAGAATATAGCAATATGAATAAAATAAACATTTAAGTATATAACAATATGGATGTACATCCATATTGTTACATTACATATATACATATGTAAGTTAGGTTCAGGAGACAGATCGATATTAGAATGACAACAAATCAAGTACAGTAGTGAACATATAGTAAAGAGGACTAGTGATCACATTGCTAAACGTCTATCCTATGAACCAACTAACCAGCAAGAGCTTCTTATTGTAATTTATTGATTAATTCCTCATGTAATCGCCACTTACCCCTTATTAAGACATCGTCCACATACCAGCATAATACTCTTAAAAGAAATGCTTAGGACTAACCACTAAATTATTTATTAGTTTTGACATATCATCAAATGTCATTTTGATTAAAAAAAAATAAGACAATCCTTAAAACCCTAAAATTTAAACATTAGTATTCATCTATATATACTGTTTTTAAGAATTCCTTTCAAATATATATTTACATTTGAATTACAATGTAAACGGTTGAATCTTACCTCAACTAAAACCAGTAACCCAAGGCCAATTCCAGCAGCGAGTGTTATCAAATCAACATCAATCAGTATTCCAGACATGAACACTAAGGATGCCAGTATATGGAAAGATTTGCGTGTCACTGTATTCGCCTTCACAGCCAACTGTGTCCTGGATAGTACCACTAGCACTGCTATGATTACTAAACACAGCCAGAAACAGAATATTGAAGCCTAGAATTAAAAACTCAATTAGATAATATATCATGGTAAAAACATTATTACAGGCAAAGAAAACAATGTTGGCTGTCAGAAATCGATTTTAAGATAAGACCACATTTTATTGTACAATTTATATTTATATATATAGATTATATATAGAAAAACAAATATAACAACCAGTTTAATTATTCATTATTTATATTGACAATATAAATAATGAATAATTAAACTTATTGATTTAACACGATTGTAATTGAAAATTAAACACGATTTTTTTTTATGGAAAATAAAGGTAATTTAAAAATAAACAGTTTGTTTTTTATGTGTTATAAAACTATATCCATCAACTTTATACGTTTTAATTTTAGTCTGCTAAGTTTTTGTGAAAAGGTTAATTAATCTATACAGGCTGTACATGACCAATTTTTATATTTTATTATCAAAAAATCTAAGATTTTTTTAATTACAGAAGTTCTTTTATAATTAAAATTTTTGTGTAATTTTCCTATCCACATATACTTAGCTGTTATATAAATACCAGCTAAATGTGCTTCATATGGATCTAGGAGACTAATTAATCCCCGCAAAATGAACAATTGAGAATATAATACTGAATCTATAAAAACCCATATTTAAATAGTATACATACCCTGTTTTTCTGCATGAAGATATAAGTAAAAATATTTGGTATACAACCAATACCAAGAACGCAATGTAATACAAATAATGCAAATACAGCTCCTGCACCGATTATTTTCACAAGATTTAAAATATTCTTTTTTTCATCAGTCCACAAAGATATTGTTGTAACAATGATGCCCACTGTCGACAATGCTGTCTAAAACAAATGCAGTTTATTATATTATTCAAAATAAGTCATTTTAGAAGATTTAGAAATAGCTGAAAATCAAAACATTAACAAAAGTAATTAAAATTATTCAAATACATTTCAAAGTAATTAATGAAAGAGTCTACAGCTAAGAGGGTATACCCAAATTACATTTCAAGAATTTCATGACATTTAAGCCCTCCAGACTTCATAAAATTTATAATCCTAACATCCCTTGTCACCCAGTCATATTTTTGAGCCCCTCCCCTTTTTCATGTGTGACGTAATTTATACATGGCCACAAAGATTGAATCCTAGTTTCTATGCTATGCGAACATCACATTAACCATTTTAATATTCTAAATGTGGAAGCATATATTTGCTTTTAAACGGCTGTAGGGATCTTAATGCTCCCGTTAATCTTTTATCTCCAAAAAGTATGTAACAATTAGTGTAGTATAAATCAGTAGAATTTATTTTTAAATCTCAAGGTTATCTCCCTTCAATATAGTATTAACAATGTTATCAGACATATCAGTTAATTAGATATTATTGTATTCAAAGTTGACTCACATAGATAATAACATTGATGAAATCTGTTTCCTGGTGTGTATCATCCAAATTACTAAATAACTTTGCTAGGGCCATCACACCAAACAATACAATTCCTTGTATTACTATCATGGCCTCTCCTATTGTGAATGTATGTGGGTACCTGACCAGAGCCTGCCTTAACATGTAACTATACCAGCTTACTACAGGCACTGAGACAACCATTAAGGAAAACATCAAATCTGTAAAAAAAACACCAGAATACAATTTATTTATACTGTAGACCAATTTTTTACACATTACTATATTACTTTACAATTAATAGAAATTTACTTTGGTCTACAAAAAAATGATTTCATAATTTATTATTATTACCCTGATTAGTGAAATTCAATGTGTGTAACAGATACATTCTGGGTACATTCCTATGTGGTATATTAAGTAATTCTTATGAGAATATAAACCAGATTGAAGAATTGAGAATTACAAAAATCAAAACAATATGCAAGTAGGTAGTAATATAGGTAAAGAAAAAGATTTATAACTATTTTAAAAATATAATAATGAGGCCTTCACCTTGTCCTAAGAAGGAGTAGAGGAACAATGCTGACACAAGACTTGATGCTATACATCCTCCATAAGTTGACTCTTTAATTACTACTGGTGACACAGAGATGAAGATTATGAACAGAATTGAGTAGAATAACAGACCATAAGACATGTAAGTGACCAGCTTATACAATGGTGATACATTGTACAACAGAATGTAAAAAGTCAACACTGTTGGTAAGAGAAAACAACACCAAAGCCCATTGGTTTCCACAGGCCTGAAACAATAGCAATTGTATATTTATTTAAACTGACCAAAAATATATTCATTTTTTTCATCTAAACTTCCATACTAATAATATTCCATACCACAGGTGTTTATGACCTATCCATATTATGGGCTTGGGCATTAGCATTTAATATTAAATACACTGCCATGTATATGTAATAATAAACTCTACAGGTGTAAATTAATCAATTGACAAATAGTGGACAAACAGTGGCTCAGTGATATAACTGTTTAGCACACCACCTTATACAAACATTTGTATTAACAAGTATATTTTTTTGTACGGCTCAAGGGTTTTCTGTGATATGTCCGTCCTTAGTAATTCAACAAATTGTAAATACACTTACCTAGTTTCCACTGCTGCGGCCCTTAAATTTCTTGTTATTTGATTGTCTAAGGGTGTAATAAACCTCAAGTATTTAGTTTCGATCTTTTGGGACAAATATGATTCATTGGCATTTGAATTTTTGTTCATTATTGAAAAATATATTAAAAATTCACTTAATTAAAGTCGGAATCCAAACTGAAATAATACCGTTTTTCAGAAAACACAATTCCGCTCTAGATAATGATAATTCATTCTACGTAAGCTAAATAAAATAATGTTGTGTATTCAATTCAAAAAGGATAAAAATTTAACAACACAATTCAAAATATATTTTTCTATAACTTATTTGACAGACCGTTTTGTCTGATTGACAAATAAGTGACAATTTGTTAACGTCAATGAAAAATGCAGACAATGGTAGAAAAGTCACTCTGATCAGTCTGATCTATGCTTCACACTTGACAGTTGCTTGACAGTCAGCTGCTGTCTTAATTTTGTTTCCATTTGATTGAGAAATTATTATACTTTTATTTTCATTTTCTTATCATTATTTTTTTATTCACGATTGTCAACTGATAACTGATACATTAATTGTTAGATTTTATAACTTATATAATTTATAGAAAAATGTTCCGAAATATTAGGAAAATCGTACATCTGCAAAAAGCTAAATTTTCTGCGGCAGCGCCGGCTCCTCAAACAAATCCTGAGATTTTATATACAGGAGTAAGTAAATAAATTTTTGTGACTTGAATATGTTTTTTTTTCATACAACACATTCCAATATTTTTTTGTGATAATTAATATTAATAATTCCTATCATTTTTAATCACCTGTGAGGGTGAAATTTTTTTGTGGAAATTTTTAAACCTGATGCGAACAATGAAGCCACTGGATGAAGGCATGGTGCTCGCGCTCATGGTGCCCGATAGTAATCGGGACTGGCTTGACATAATATAATATAGTGTATACATAGTATAGTGTACTGGAGAGTGATAGTATGAGATGAAGTTCGGCCAGTTCATTCTCATGCTATGACCAATCATAATTGGTGAATTCATCAGCAAAAAAATACCGTGATTTATTCAGGGCCGACAATTACCAATGCAATCAGCATTTGTTATCAGTTAAAATACATTCTTACATCATTGAATTTTTATAATAATAATTTCTATCTTCATCACATAACTCATCCATGCTTGGCTAAGGCCCGCGTGTTTGAATATATTACCCCCGTAAAAAGGGAGATATAATAAATATATATATAATAATAATGTTATTTATTTTAGCTGTTTATCAACAATGAATGGGTGAAATCATCAGATGGGAGGACCTTCCAAACAGAGAATCCTGCAACTGGGCAGGTCATAACTGAAGTGCAGCAAACTGGCAAGAGTGATGTGGACAGAGCTGTCAAAGCTGCCAAAGATGCCTTTAGGTATGCTTTTCGCCTTATGTCAACCCTTCCCTGTGTTGTCTTTGTGAGCTGATTCATTGAACTAGGCCCTTGAAAGACAACCATTTTAACCAAACAAAACAAGAGCATGGTGTCAGTGCTGTTAGTCCATCATGGTGAATTCACCAGTTATTAACACTGTTATCCAGAAGAAACTGCATGGAAGTTGACCTGTTACCAATAGTGTATCCTTAGCTATTCAAAAATTCAGCCATTCCAATAATTTTAGTAATACCCCTTTACCTGTAACAGAGTCACAGCTGGTCAAATTTTAATAGGCGAAATTTCGTATAATTAAATACATATAAAATAAACTTGGAGTATCTGTCTGTTTGTTCTGGCTAATCTCTGAACTAGCTGGACCTATTTTGACAGGACTTTTTTGGCAGGTAGCTGATGTAATAAGGAGTAACTTAGGCTACTTTTATTTTAGAAAAATGAAGTTGAATTCTATGCGAGTACAGCTAGTCTATACTATAACTGAAATGTGACATCACAGAATCTGAGATCCTGGGGGAAAGGACATCGTTTGTAATGTGGATTTATGATCTTATTGCTAGCAATTTACCATGTCAGGTTGACATCCACATGGTTCCCCCTGGAAACCATTGTGATACATTTTTAGTGAATTAGTTACAATGGGACTACTGACCTAACCTCATGCTCATCTTGTCATCCGCCACTGGTATCTCCAGCGTTAAACGGGTCCTCAAAGTGCAACATTTCATTATCATCCATAAAAGACCTTGTTAAACAATGTCACACTTTATTGACTTCCCCACTTCATCCTTCATCACATGTGACTTAATTTCTGAACCCTTTCTAGTGTTGACGCCACTTATTGACTTTTAAGAATAATTGCAGAGGTTACCAGTTTTGTACTTAACATTTTGTTTTATTGTTATTAGGTTAGGATCTCCGTGGAGAACGATGGATGCTTCTCAGCGAGGAGTACTCATCAACCGCTTAGCAGACCTGATTGAACGGGATAGGATATACTTGGCGGTAGGTTAAAAAATATTTTTGTTTTAGTAGCACCTAAGTCATTATACATTGTAGTAAGTGCACGAGTGCTGAAAAAGATAGATGGAAATTGTTACATACTTTTTTTTATCTATACTTCTTTCTGTTTATGTTTTGTTATCTTTTCATTGTTACACAACTGAACTTACTGATATTCAATAAGACACAGATTGTACCACGAAGACGATCACAGACTATTTATAATAAAAATAAGAAGCTCAGGTAACAGCTAGCAGGTATATTATTTAAGAAACAGTCATAATCTAAATACTAAGATGTTTGATCACCTGATGATCAGGCTTCCGTGACGTGAACTCTAATAGCGGAGCTTACAAAGATTTCGGGTCACACAGAGAAGTATGGAACGGAGTATGGTTATCGTGACAATAGGCTTCGAGACAATGCGAAATATGATCTTCAGAAGCAACACCCGAGTAGTTAAGATACCCGGTATCTTAGCCAAGCTAAAATGATACGTATGTCGCCGATACGATGGCAGATAATAATAATGTTTAGGCAGACCACCAGTCAGATTGTCTGATCATACAGTAATTACTGCTGGAAAACCATGGCACAGAAAGGCCACGAATATTGCAGCGTGGAAACGGATCCCAGAGGTATATGCCCAAAGTGGGCTAGTCAAATGTATTTATTCCACGGAAACAAAACAGGGCCTAAACCGAAGGTGAGGTTGCCTGTAACACCTCAACATCATCAAGATTTATAAGGATATATGTAACTAACAGATACAGAATAATATTTTTTCACAGCATTATAATTTTAAGACTTTATATCTAAATAAAAGCCAATTATTAAAAATAGTAACGTTCGAAGAGTAGTAGTAGAGTCACAAGTATTAGGTAAAGACCTTATTCGCATGTTTCTTTCGACTAACTTACACAATTCTTAATGACTACCTAAACCTAACCTTCCTCATATTACACTCTGTTAATTGAAAAAAAAATTATCAGTAGTTCTTGAGATTATCGCGAATATATAACAGACGCGACGGGAGATTTTGTTGTATAATATAAACATCACTTATATAATAGCATTAATAATACCTACTTTCTTATTAAGTGTAAATTTTATCGCACCTCATAATGATTATATCTATTGACCTTACAATGACATTGTAATAATACATTATTTAATATGTTTTAAGTTTATTTAGTCTCTGTATGTATTTGATATGTCAATGTTATTGTTTTTATTAAAAATAACAGAATGCGCCATTTTGGACTGTCCTCTAAAATAAAATAGTATAATATTTTTTTGTACACACAAACAATAGATGTAGAAAATATTGTGATAAAGGTTTGCATTTTGACTTGAAGTCTAGTTATCATAATACTGTCTATTCTCAAAAATATATGTAAAAAATTTTCACTACTCCCTATTGCATTGTAATATTGCTTGTTTTCTTGCAATTTGGCCGAGTCCAATACAGGCGACCATAAACTTACGATATTTGTTTAAAAATATAAATATTTATATTGATAATAATCACCACGGACAGGAACACAGGCCCAAGCTAAGATCTTGTGTTATGGGTAGGTACGAGACAAGTTATAGAAATACCTATATACATAGTATTTCTAAAATATATGTAATATATTCACATACTACTTCAAGAAATAGTTACATGACTATCGAGTAATAATACCTACGCTAATTAAGATACGGTCGTTAATAAATGTATTCCACCGTCTTCATTATCATCATCATCATCGAGTAGCTAGTTTTGTATAAATTTGACATTATCAACGACATTACTTGCGTGATTATAGCGTGATTTTTGTAAATTGTAATTTAATCTAAATGACTCTTGATAGCTTCGTCGTCTTGATATTACTCTATGAATCTCTGGACTACAAATCTGACCATAAAAAAAACTGTATTTCTGGCTGACTCTCAGGTGAATGAAATGCCGATATCAAATCAAAAAATAATCCGAGACAACTGCCATAGACTCGTCGTCACGTTGTAAATGTGGGCACGTCAAGTGTTTCGTTCTCCACGATATCAATAGTTAACTATGCCTCTGACTATCTCATTAGAGATAACAGTCGTGACGGTACGCTTCTTACTCATGATAACATAGAAAAAAAATCATATTACGGTATCTTCACAACATCATTAATTAAGAGGGAAATACGATTGTTAGTAATGAGGACTGCCGACCCAATTGCTAGAAATGTGCCATGTTGGATTGAACTTTAGGCCGTTCGCCCCAGAAACCACAGCGATAAATTCCCGTTCCATTTGTCAATGACCTAACTGACTTGAATATGCTCGTCACATCATCCTCCACTGGTGCCCCGCCAGCATATACGCAAGGTATCTAGAACATAGTTAAGCTAAATTACCAAATACTAAAATTCATTTATTCACTACACAGAGCTTGGAAACCCTCGACAATGGAAAGCCATACACAGCAGCGTACTACGGGGACTTGGGGGGGGTGATAAAGAACCTTCGGTATTATGCGGGTTGGGCGGACAAGAATCAAGGCAAAGTGGTCCCCACCGACGGCAAATACTTCGCGTACACTCGCCACGAACCAGTAGGTGAGCTCATGTTTAACCCCCGACGCATAAAGACGATAAGTTTGACGTCTCTGTGTGTCTCTGGCATCATAACTATCAAACTAATTCACTTATTATTGTGTTTTGTTTTGATTGAAAGCAGGCGTTATCGAAAAGGTTCTTGGAGGACGATTTGTTGTTATAATGTTTCTCTGGTCTGCTCTGATAATTATTACTGACTAGCTATTAGGATGTATTAGGTATTGTAAAGTTCCATTAATATCCATCCAATAATTTTTGCGTGAAAGAGTAACAAACATCCTTACATCCACACTCACAAACTTCGCGTTTATAATATTAGCAACTTTTATTTGGTAACTCAAGTAGCTATTTTGTCATTAGGCAGTTTGTATTCACTTAAAATCCTAAATATTGAAAATTTATTTTTATAAGAGCAAAACGCAAGATTTTTTCTCGTTATTCTTGTGATAAGACTACTTTTCGAATGAGCTGTAGAATAAAAAAATAATACATGACGATTCAAAAGTGCTTATATTAAGTTTATTTAAATAAAGATTATTTCTATTCCGTTCATATAAGTACTTATGTGTAAATATTTCTCGCAGCCGATTATAAAAACGGTGCGTAATGATCCTTTTCCGATTATAGTGTACTGAAGTGAAATGATCACCAACCGGTTATTACGTACTATTTCCTGTAAAGAAAATATGGATTAGTATAACTGGAATGGTTATCAAGCTATAGCCTGTCCGATAGAAAGCGGTACCTGTCGCATATAAATACACATCACAATAAAGAGAAACTGAAACTATATACAAATATATAATATTGAAATGTTTGTTTGTAATGTGAAATCACCAGGTTTTGACTAACGATAAGTGCATAGTATGTACAGTACTACATAAAAAAATAAATTAAAAAAATTGTCTATATGTTTTTGCTAATCTCTAACTCTCTTTCTTGGTCCTCTGGACTGGCAACCGATGAGTGATATCACGGGCGTCATATGATAACGTTATGTCCGTAATACTTTAGAAAGAAAGAAATACCAAAGAAAATTCGTTTATTTGATACACATATTATAAACAACAAAAATAATCCTTTTCTTTGTTGTTTATTTTAAATACAATTGCATCATTAAGTGGGGTACCGATCTATATCTCGATCGATCGATAGATCTCCGCTCAGCATATGCCGTCACGAGGTGCCAATATGCTGTTATTCTGTGGATACCATCTCATATATAAACATAAATATATATATTATATGTACATTGTACATATACTTCTTATCCTGTAATTTCACTGACTTTCTCTATCTCTTCAACCGAAATATTATCAAAACAAGCTACCTCAATAAAATTATTTCTTACGACATTATAAACATTTATTGCCTGTTTATATTAATACGCTGACAATAGGTTAGATATGACACGCTAGTTCACGCTACTCCTTTCGTGTTAACATGTAAGTGTATATGGTATTGTTAATTTGTTATCTTCCTACGATATTTATAGCATTATTTACAATTATCTTCATCACTGACAATTACTATCACTATGTAATTAGGTACTTGTGATACTGCATGTTTACAAGTACAGAACAATAATTAACCTATCATATAATAAATTTACTCAATCCGAACATAAACGAGTTCAATCTTAGAAAATTACTTGTGCCAATCTTTAATTAAACACTTTCAGTTAATGAAATACAATTTTTATTTATTTAAAGTGTCTAATAAAGAACTTTTATTGAATTTCTTGAAACTTAAAGTGCTAATAATAAAGCCGACCTTCAATGCACATAAAACAAAAATGAACCTTAGTGTTTTTTTCGATCTTGTTTTATATTAAGTTTATATCTATTTCTATTTTTGGTTAATAAATAATGAAATATAAACAACCTTGAACAACAAAAACAACACTGTGCCATCTAGTTTCAAAATAAGTAGAGCTACAGATATGTAATAAAATAGAATTCAAAGTAAAAAAGGTATATACATACAAAACATTCTGACTACTATCCACTTAAAATATTTTCAATCAAGAAACACAACTGCAACATTTTTTATACATAATATGCCTACATGCAAAAACCACTTAAACCAATAAAAACAAGTACAATACAAACGTAGGTATATTAATATTTGTTTATTTGTTTACGCGACCTATTATTAAACGTATATATTTTTTATTTTCTACAGGAATATGCGGTCAGATCATTCCATGGAACTTCCCGTTGCTGATGGCCGCGTGGAAATTGGGTCCAGCGCTGGCAACTGGAAACACCGTCGTTATGAAGCCAGCCGAACAGACACCGCTCACAGCTCTCTATCTCGCTCAACTAGTCAAGGTAAGATCAAGGCAACGACTCATGTCGACTTTTTTTATGTAATTGAAATTAAATGGTGAATAAGCTGACGGCCTACCTGACCATAATTTTGTTTTTATCAAACTATTCTAATGCTGTCTGCCGCAGCTGCAGCCTTTACAGCTCTACCGAACGATAACGATCTCATTTTAGAGTTAAAAAACAAAAGTCGTTATACAAATGATCGTAATTTTGTCATATATTGATTTTAATTATATTCAAGTTGCGTCATAGGTTCTGGTTTTGCGACACCTGTTCATTGTTCGTTCTAAAGTTATAGGTAATTTTGTAAGTATTGAATAATAAAATGTTTCGTATTGTATGACGCATACAAATATTGTAACCAAAATATTTATTGTAATAATAATTTGTTAAAAAAAAAATCATAATAAATCGAAAACAATTTAAAGTAATTTTTAACATTTTTAAATAATATTGTAAACAGCACAGAGTTGATTTCGAGTTTCTAATAAAAAGTAAAAAGTAAAAATTAAAGAAATGCACTTGTAGATAGTTGCTAGGTAAATTATATGTAATTTACACGTAACATGGGCTGTATTTTATGTAAAAAAAATACAGGTCCGTACAATAATTAAGCCTTGCGATTCTAGGTCGAGTCGTGTCAAAATCACTTAATCACGTAGAACACTTTCGGTTACTTATGCAAACAATAATTTTTAATCACTACCATTTTGAAAAAGATCAATATTTACTATGTAGATTCAATTATTTTCATATGTCAATAATGTGTAGATTAATTTTGTTTTTATTTCAGGAAGCCGGATTTCCACCAGGTGTGGTCAACATGCTTCCAGGATTTGGAGACGCTGGTGCTGCTATTGTCGAACATCCCGATGTGGACAAAATTGCCTTTACTGGTTGGTTACATTGTGCTAATCAGCTGCATTATCACGATTACTCTACATAAATAATGTTAATTACATACTAACGAGTCTCCAGTAAATTATAATAGAATGATAACGAAGTCAACTCGAGTACTCCATTATTATATTTATTGACGACAGGCGACACGTATAAGCGGCGTCGCGACGCACCTATAATATTTGTGTAGATTAGGTAGACAATAAGTTGTGTGTTGAAATTGGACAATAACTTAGAAATAATATTAGTTTTTAAAAAGTGCTGTTTTAGAATAAGACATCGATTCACTGTTTAAAACTACGATAACGGTTGAACATCTGTTAGGGTACCAGCGTTCATTTCGCATTCATTGTTTATAAACACAATGAATATTTGTTGGCCTTTTGTGATAAGATAACACCGTTACTATTTTCAACCCATTGGGTTTATGATGACCGTAGGGTTTCTTATTGTAAACATATTCTTATTGTAGACTAACGGACGGAGCACGGTCTTTTCATGTCTTTATGAATATTGTCCAATCCGTGTTTACAGTGCATTGTAGTTAGGCAAGGAAATTGGTTATTGCACCAATGTTAAATATTCTTGGGTAGAGTTGTAAAATGCAATGCATTCTTTATGAGTAACTGTTAGTTTGTGAGAATAAATAAGTAAGGGAACTTTGGCAATGTGAAAGGATATTGTTATGAAGTTGTATAACGTTGTGCATTGTCTGATAGAAATAAGGTTTGGTTTATTGCCAGTAAGAATTTTGTAAGGACTGTAGTCCCCACTACAGTCTATACCTCCCATATATAAGGCGAGGAATTTTTGTATCGAGTTAGTCATAATGTAGTTATAATGCAGTCATAATACTGTTATAATAGAAAGACTCAGATAGTCATAGTCGGATTGTTATATGCCGACGGCTGTCATAATCGAACACAGTACGGACGGCAGTTATAGTCCGTTATTATTGTAAAGTCAGTCGCGGTAGTTTCCTATAGACGCCATACAGTCTGAGCTACAGCGGCTGAAACTTGAATGTAACATCGAATACGGTTATAACTCAATTGTGAAACTTCTGTGGAGAGAATAAACAGGCTTCAAGAGACAACCGTTTCTTTCAAACCCCACCATCGATACAGTCCACTGCTCTCCCTGAGGAGCTGTCGCCAACAATATTGTTATATATATATTAATATAGGATGAAGGCACTTTGTATCCCATTTATGAATAGTGCGCAAACGGAAGAGTATGAAATTTCAACCATTGCGCTACCACTAGTATTTAATAATATATGTATTGGATTACATGTCCTATTTGTAACAAGAGCCCTCTGTATAATTTTAGGTTCAACTGAAGTTGGCAAGCTGATACAACGCGGCGTGGCCGATAGTCTGAAGCGAGTAACTCTGGAGCTGGGCGGGAAGTCGCCCAACATTATCCTGGGGGATGTCGACCTCGAGCAAGCAGTGGAGGCCGCCCACCACGCGCTCTTCTACAACATGGGACAGTGCTGCACCGCCGGTAATCTATGTAGAAATAGAGTAACACCAATTTCAGTAATTTTTAACCCCAATGTCACGACGATTACCATTTACCGTTACATTAATCGTTTGCTTATTAGCCATAGCAATTACGTAAATTGAGACAAATCAGTGAACAGTTATATTGTGGTACAGGATCGCGTACGTTCGTGGAGGACAAGATTTATGACAAGTTCGTGGAACTCGCGGCCGAGCGTGCCAAGAGGCGTGTAGTAGGCGACCCCTTCAGACCTGATGTCGAGTCCGGGCCGCAGGTTGGCATCTCGCCCTTTTTACTTAAATATATGTCGTTCTATATTCTTTTTTTATGACTGAGGCTAAATTCCATCATGACCAAGATTAATGTTAACAAGATTAACTCTTAGTTTTTAGCATGTAGATAGTTTTAATCTACATGCTAAAAACTAAGAGTTAAGTGGTGTAAAATTAAAACTTGTGCAGATTGATAGCGAACAACACAGCAAGATCCTAAACCTGATTGAAAGCGGTCGGACCCAGGGCGCTAAACTAGTCGCAGGCGGCAGCCGCGCGGGCGATAAGGGTTATTTCATCCAGCCAACCGTATTTAGTGAAGTCAAAGATGACATGGAAATTGCCACCACTGAGGTAAAGTATACTGTATTTTTTCTTTTATTTATGGTACATTTGTTTTTCTTTTAAACGCCGCGGACGATGTGATTTGTTGCAATTATGACAGCACATCCAATCTATCCAATTTCAATTTAATTACAATTAGAGTGACCAGAAGGGGCACATTGTAGTCGTTCTAATTCAACTAAATTGCTGTTGAATTCACAGAGATTTGCTGATAATCATGTAGTTGTCTAATAATGTACAGTAACATACTTGTCTTTTGTCTTTCGTAATATTTACTGGCTTTATTCCACAACGCAGCTTGCGTGAAATACAGCTTATATAACTAGCAAATAATATAGATTTATATGAGTGGAATTTTAAATATATCTTCTCCTTTTCAAACAATAAACTTTTGCTCTTTTTTATTATTTAATTTGATTATCAAGTAGTGTTGTGTTGAGAAACAGCGTAACAGTCCCGACTAGCAAGAGTAGCAAATGCTAATGGCTCCGCACAGTAAAAGCCCCTGACTTCTCATTTCTATCTGAACACAATAAAATAAACAGATCTAGTTCTAAAAATACATTTATCTCGGGGCCAGAAGCAAATAAGAGTATAATCGAAATCGAGGGTACCTTTTGAAAGAATTTGCTTCATGTCCCGCATTGACCTAATCCAGCATTGAGGATCAGATGTAAGTTGACACATGTCAATGTCAGTCTGAGTGTTTGATAATATATCGGGTTTGATTAGATTAAATACCTAAGTGATTTAGTTAATATTATGTGATTACAGTATTTCAATATTAGACAACACAGTCTCAATTCTGCAACTAACCTATTGCATAATACTTGTCAACACAGATATTCGGCCCCGTGCAGCAGATCATCAGGTTCTCAAATCTGGAGGAGGTGGTGGAACGTGCCAATAACACAGTGTACGGACTCGCGGCTGCAGTGTTCACCAAGGATTTGGATAAAGCCAATTATCTTATTCAGGTAACGATATATTATCATCTGCTTCGTCCTTATCCCATTCATTTGGGGTCGCCATACAATACAACTAACCACTGTTGCGAATAAGTAATATGACAATAAGTCCCACCTTTGGCGCGACAACTCCATTTCTAAGCTGACTGTTTGCTATCTTTAGCCAAAGCACAAAATGTCCCGAAATGAATATTTATTACTGTTACTAGAAATGTAAACTATGGTACCTATATACTTGGTACGGTGTCGTCAAGTCTTATTGGAAATCATACTAATATAATACATACATGGCATACTCACAAGCTTACTTTGCCACCTCTTATTAAATTGGACATTAATTAAAAATCATATGAGAAACTGATCACACGGTACTGACGCATACGCTGAGAAATGCGACCATAGGCCAAACGTGAATATACGAATATGTTTGTGTACATGATTGATATAAAATATGAAGTGTAGATTCTATCACGAGGATGGAAATAAGCTAACTTTAATTTTATTAAAGAAGCAGACGAAGTTGCAGATAAGTGCTCGTTACTTGTACCTACTATTAAAAATTACGAGGTACACTTTGAACATCATAAACAACCTCTTTTGTCATTCATAAATTAAAAATTCTACAGGCGATCCGCGCGGGCACCGTTTGGGTGAACGATTATAACATATTTGGTAACCAAGTACCATTCGGCGGCTTCAAGCAATCGGGCATCGGTCGCGAGAACAGCGAGTACGGACTGAGGAACTACACCGAAGTGAAAGCAGTAGTCGTCAAACTAACAGAGAAGAACTCTTAAAGTATATTGGTTACCAACTGGTTTGATCATATATTTCAATCTCCTGAATCTTCTCAAGAAAAAAAATTATAATCAATTACATCGCAATATATATATATTCTATCTGTGCATGTGACTGGTTAAAAAGAAAATGTGTTTATGTGGTTTCCCGGATAGTTAGTTATATTAGTATACAGAATTAGTAGACTTTTACATTTAAAGTCCACTAATTGAGTTTTAAATATGCCACTGTGTTATATATATTGATTGCGTATGCTCAATTTTATGCAATATATTTTCTTAGTCTTTATACTTACATATTGTTTTACTCAATAGTGCTTTTCGTGTCATAATTCATAAAGACTTGTCAACTAGGAGTTATAATTTGTATTCACGATGTAACACAATTGTAGAAAAATTTAGGGAAGACTGCTCAATTAAATACAGCTGTAATGTGCTTTACTATAGACATAAGAATATTATTTTTATAGGCAACTTAGTTGTTGATTTACGTATAACGCAATATCTATAGTAATAGCAAATGTATTACATTAGTCTGTTCATACACAGCAGTATTGTCTTGTTGTTTTTATTGTTATTCGATGCACGATGTTATACTAGTTTAATATTGAAGAACAATATGCTACGATTCCAACAATATATCTACTAACTAGCTGCTATATTTTCTTAGTAATAATTTATGTAGACTATAGCCCATTTTTTCGTGCTTTTACTATTATTTCATTACTTAAACAAAGAGATGCGTAAATAGCTATACTTATATAAAGAAATTTGTATAATTATTACAAAGAAAGTTATGTATCAATGTATACATAACTTTCTTTGTATTGCACTTACGCTGATGATAACATATCTTATTTACAGTTATGTTTAAAAATATGAAATATACTAAGTTGAATATTTCCTGATAACTAATAAAAGAACTGCAGAGAATGATCAACAGTAGCTACTTGTTACAAGTCAAAAACACTATCATATTAGAACTCGAGACCAGTTGCTATAATGAACTCAATTTCTAAAGTTTCTTTGAATTGCTTTAATATTAATCTTATCTATGAATATTGATGTAACATGTAATTAGTAAATAGAGACAATAATCTATCTCTTTAACGAAAATAAAAATGAACTGGTTGCAGTTATCTTCTTTGCACTATTATTTGTGCCATTTGTTTTACATTGTGTACTAGAATATTGAAAGTGCTAATATTTTCTTTGCTGTTATATATAGATATATATTTTCTTAATAAAACACATTAATTAAGTACAAAGTTTTATTTCAACGATTACTACTAAATCAACTACACATCTAACGTTATATATATATTGTTTTTAAAATTGAATCTTTAAAAATTAACGTGATATAACTTTAAAAAATATACCTATTTTGAATGGTAGTAAAACATACCAAGGATAAGATCATTATATAACCTTTGGTTCGGGACAAAATATAAAAATGTAGAAAAAGTAGAAACAGATACTTTTAATCAACGTGAGAATATATTCTAAAAGATAAAATAGTGCAGATAAAAGTAACAAACCTTCAGAAGGTGTAAACTATTCTATAAATCACAACAGTGGAATGTAAGGTGCCACTTAATCTAATAATCACATAGCCTTTGCGTAATTCTAAAATACTAAAAAATAGGAATGTAAAATTATATAAGAAAACCTAATAAGATCTATCTTTGGGTTTTCTAAATGCCAATATTGGTTGGATCAAATAGTAACTATGGCAAAAAAATTTTTTTTGAGGTAATTCTTTTTATTGTGTTCTAAATAAATGGCGTAGTATTCGCGCACGGCGTAAGTCTAATATTTTAGTTATTTGTGAAACATCAAACGTATTATTGCACAATTTATCAAACACAAGTTATTATCCAACAGTTGTTACCTTTAAAACTACAAGCCAACATAAAGGCAATAAATAAAAAAATATTGTGGATTTTACTTTGTACTTGTCATAAGTTATATTAAATCTAATGACTGATGACTTCAGTGATCAATTGAAATTAATTTCAATGACGGTAAACTTTGGTGGTATTGAGTTACTCTATTGTTAGTATTGGAAAGACGAGAACAATAATGATTGTACTAATAATGTGAATGATCGATAATTTATCTTTATCGTTAAGTAAATATCTAAGTTAACAATAAATAGCATCTTTTGAATAAATAATCATCTAAGCACGCAGCCGTAGCGAGCAATGTCTAAAAAAAACCTGTTTTACCAATTTCAGATCTAACGAATATCAAGTTCAATATTTTAATCAACAATGGTTAGCTTTTTTTACTTTATTATTAGTAGGACATTATTATAAAATTTTTATTCATTTACAGTAGTATTTTAATAGCTATGTACAGAAATTTAAGGAACTTACTATGTTTTCGATAGTGCGCGCAACGCTGTAGCGAATGCACCTTACTCACCCTAAATTAAACTCCGGAATCGAAACAATTTTTGCGAAAACCGAAAACAGTAATTTAATTAAATTTCTGTACATAGATATAAAAATATTGGAGTAATTGTGATTATGAATTTACAAAATAATAATGACTGGGATGTATTTTTTTTTTAAATTACATTGACGTTATTGAGACTGAATCGGTAGTAAAATTTTTGTGTAAAATTTTCTGTTGCGAAAGTCTTAAAAAACTAAATAATCAATCTTTATCCGGCATTTCTTCATTTAACACAGATAAGTTTTCCTCAGAAATCTTCGCTAAACAACCGCAAGTGAGAGAAGATAACGTCGAATTGGCAATATCCTCCTCTATCTTCCGTTCTAGTAACTCGAAATCATCATTCTCCGCTTGGCATTTAAGGCATTCCTCCGAAGAAGAGTCTTGGTAACACATAACGTTCTCTATGTTCACTTCTACCTCATCACTCTTATCGTCTTTTATTAAGAGAGAGGGACTACTATTGCTCATAACCCTAGATTCTCTACTGATATTCTGTACAAAAACTTCAGATTTCGGTCGTGTTTTTATATTACTGTCTACATTTCTATGTTTTACCGTTTTAGTAGCGACCGGAGTCTGCGTTCTCTTCTCTTTGGGAAATATGCGTTGTATTCTCTCTTCAACGAGAGATATGCTTCGCTTGAAGACCACGGTGTCCTGAGGACCTGTACCGGAACCGTCAATGGCGTCCCTTGATTCAGTGTCGGAGTTGTCACACCTGAAATATATGGTGTCACAGCCGTTCTCCTGCTTTACCTTGATGAGGCAGCATTCGTCTTCCTTCTCGCAGAGTATTTCGTGCAATGAACCATGTAACGGTATTAACTTCACTTTACCGCCGAAATTCTCCTGCATTTGAGTTGATAAGTCGTCATCTATGTAAAGATCCTCAGTGCTTCGAGCTTCCTGGAAGATTTAAAATGAAAATGATTAGATAGAAAAATTATATTGTTATCGTTAAAAATTCGGGAACATAAGTCAAATTCAACCAACAATATATTTATCTCCAGTAATTTATTCAAAATAAAAAGTAGCGTATCCATTCCAAATGTCACCATCTCATATAAAAATGTACTGTCCTTACCTGAATGGCATTGAAAGCCTGGCACCTCTTCAGCGAGTTCATGTGACCATCATCACCGATTAATGTATCTTCTATAGACTCGTTTAATTTTTTTCCATTGTTCGTATCGCGTATAGTTACGTTCACACAATTATCTAAGACTTGCAGACTATTCTCACCGGAACGGCTAAATGTTATTTGCAACAGCGGTTTATTGTTTCCATTTATCTTCACCCTAGAAAACGACTTAACTGTCTCTTTTCTTATGCTTTGCTCAGGATCTTCACCGTTCTTGAGACTCTCCATGATGTTAGCGACGCCCTTGTTGAGCACGTTGTCTTTGTTGGTAGAACTCGAGCTGGTAGAATCATCTGTTATCTCTTGTAGTAAATGTTGAAACTCTTTGCGAATTAGATCTCTGATGAATTCCTCTATGCTTTGCGTCTCTGTTGCTTGATCTATCATTAGTTGGTTTTTATTTTCATCTGCTATTGTACTGTGAAATAAAAAAATATTCTATATTTGTAAATAAATGTATAACTTTAAAAGGATTGAACAGTTAAAGGTTACTGCTACTATACAGTATGTATGTAGTATTCATACTCGGTATAGGTGTATGCATACTTTTCTCTGCCTACACAATCAAGAGTCAAGGGGCGTAATTATAGATGTACGTACAACTGATAAACATTGCAGAAATTTCCTTAATGGTCCATTAGAAATGGGAAGTGATTAGGTTTTGGATGTGTAGGGTTTTTTTTATAACACAGTGGACAAACGAGCATGCGGCTCACCTGATGGTAAGTGATGAGCACCCGCAACACCAGGGGAATTGCCAGTGCAATTCCCCTGGTGTTGCGTTGTCGGCCTTTTAAAAAGGAATAAGCTCTTTTCTTGACGGTTTCAATATCGTATCGGTTCGGAAATACCATTGCTGGAAGGTGATTCCACAATGTGGTTGTGCGAGGCAAAAAGTTTCTAGAAAACCGTACTGTGGAAGACCGCCATTCATACAGATGATTAGGATGGTATTTCAGTTTCTGCCGGTTGGTACGGTGGTGAAACTCAGCAACTGGTATTAATCCGAACAATTCCTCAGAACACTCCCCGTTATATATGCGGTAGAAAATGCACAGAGATGCTATATCTCGCCGCAAAGCCAATGGGTCGAGTCTGTCACATAGACGTTGATTACCAATGATTCTGGTTGCTCGGTTCTGATTGCGGTCAAATGGAAGTAGCTGGTATTGTGGTGCTCCCGCCCAGAGATGAGAACAGTATTCCATATGCGGCCGGATCTGCGCCTTGTATAATTGCAAGCGATGGGCCGCCGTGAAATACCGTCTCACTCTACTGAGCACACCAAGCTTCTTTGAGGCTATTTTAGCCTTGTCGTGAACGTCACTGAATATATCAACGCCAAGGACCTCGAGATTTGGCTTCACATCAAGGAGAGTGTCTTGAAACTGAGGAGATACGATAAATGGAATCTTTTTAGCGGTAAACGCGCAAACTTGTGTCTTCTTGGGGTTGAATTGAACACAATTTTCCAGACCCCAAACCGAAACTTGATGGAGTGAAGTTTCGATTTCAGACACAAGTTTGTTCCGGTACTCTATAACTTTTGCCTGCGACATATTAGCATGGCCGCTGTACAAGGCATCTCCGTTATATAGTAATGAATGTTGTTGACTTGTAACATGTCATTGATATGCAGAAGGAACAGAGTCGGAGATAGCACACAGCCTTGTGGAACACCAGCATTCACAGAGTGTGGGTCGGAGCAAGCACCATCGACAACGATCTTGATGCTCCGATCAGCGAGAAAGTAGTTGGTAGCTTTGAAAGAAGAGCTTTATGCCAAACACGATCAAAGGCCTTCGCAATATCTAGACTAAAAGATAGGGTCTCCCCCTTACTCTAAATAGCCCCTGCCCATCGATGTGTCAAATAAGATCACCAGTTGACCGACCCTGGCGAAAGCCATACTGACGATCAGAAATCAACTGGTTCGCTTCTAGGTATCGTAGGAGTTGACGGTGATGGCTATGGGCCTATAGTTAGCTGGATCTGAGCGATCTCCCTTCTTAGGGATCGGATGAACCAAAGGTTCTCTCTTTTCGTCTTCCATAGTTTCGGGACTACACCTGTAGAGTAGCAGTACCGGAAAAGACGCGTTAGCACACGCCCTGAGCACAATAGCAGGAATACCGTCAGGCCCACTCGACTTGTGGATATCTAGGGAGAAAAAAGACTTACGTACCAGCTTTTGGGTAAATTTTACCTCTGGCATAAAAGTCTCACACCGCGAGATGACCGGCGGTGATTGCTCCCTATCGTCCAGTGTCGAGTTGAATGCAAAAAGAGACCCAAGGAGATCGGCCTTCTCTTTAGCATGTTGGGCCAACTAGTTATTCTCTCTGCGCAGTGGTGGAAAAGATGGCTGACTGTTCAGTCTCTTACCAATTCTGCTGATGTGCTCCGGCTCCGACTAAAATGCCAAACACGACGTCGACCAATAGATCGCGGCAAAGAAGGTCGCGTGAGAGGCACTTTGCTCCGTATCAGACAATGATCAGAGGATTCCAGTGGGGCTTCCACAGAGATCTGATATCCGTCCAGATGAGAAGTCAGCAGAAGGTCCAACAGTGAAGGTATATAGTCAACAACATCAAGAATCGAAGGAATCAGGAATCGCGTAAGCAAGGATACCAGTTGCGTTAAACCATACGCCAAAGCAAAGCCATAAACAGATCTCTCCGCATAGTCGGTGGTACGTGTACCGAGCCATTCAGCGTGATGGGCGTTGAAGTCACCTAGAATCACGACCTCAGCGGAGGGAATTTTTGGAGCAAAAAATCTGTAGCCATTTGGACGTGTTCGATGAGTCGGTCAGTTTCGGTGTTACCGCTATGGGACCTGTATAAGCATGCATAGATGCGGGGGTGGTCATCGCAATCTACACGCAACCATAAAATGGACAGGTCAGTACCTTCTAGTGTACCAAGACGGCGACAATAAATATCCTCTCTGACATAAGCGCACACACTGGCCCGTGGAATAAAATGGTGTTCCAATTTATATCCAGGGTAGGTCACGGGACAGGATATTTGCGTCTCCGTAAGGAAGAGCAAAGCCGGCCTCGCCGTCTCTAGGTGGTGGTGAACGGCGTTGAGATTGGAATGAATTCCCCTGATGTTGCAAAAACTGACTATGAGCAAGGGAAACGCCGATGGAGATTTGCTCGGTTTCCTTTTAGCCAAATTGAGCGGAGTATTACCCACCCCAGAATACGCAGGGCAGCCTGAGTGTGATATCTCAGGGGTGGATTCTCCAGTAACATGGTTACTGGTACCACCCTGGGGTAAAAATCTCTTGTAATCCGCTGCCATGGTATGTAAGAAAGGGGTGGGTAGGGGAAGGAAGTAGGAAAGGGATAGGGGGAGGGGGAGGGGCGTCCGGAACCTACAGCTCACCATGCGAAATATAGCTTAACGCCGGTTTTTTGCCGAGGTGTGGTATTTCCCGGTTCGAGCGGCCCAATCGAGCTGAACAACCACGTGTGGTCGTACAGCTTGCTCTACCACTTAAAAAATGGGTCATGGCAAATTCAATAAATTAAATAACCTATATACATTGCACATACCATTTGTCGACATCCTTTTTCCACGTCATGAATCTCTCAGGGTCTCGACTAGCAAAATGAATATTCTTCGCTATCATGTCTCGGGTTTGGCAGAACTGTTCCCAATGACCTCCTGAATGATATAAAGAATCATAAGTATATTATATTAAAATAGGAATAATTTAAGAATTTACACTGTCTTAAACTATTTTTCTAATGCGTCGCTTAAAAAAAATGCCTTTATTGTATAATGTAAATAATGATAATTTATTTGTTCTTACAATATTAAACAAGAATTAATATGTATAGATGTAAAAAAATTACAAAATTATCCGTATAGCAGATCCCCAATCAAATCAAGAAACATGCGTAATAAAATTATATTGTTAATTAAAATTAGTATTGATTAGTACATTTAAATTACAGACGACGTTTTAAATTTGAAGTCGAAACAAAATAACTGTATGTATAACATATACTTAACATTTTTGTACCATATCTTCTGCCTAATATTTAGTTAAGTTATTAAACACAATCTATGCCCTAATGTAAAATACGTCCGCCTTAAATCAAGAACTAAGTTCAAGTTCAAGTACAATAATTAACACACGAACTAAGTACAATTAATAGAAGTATTCGTTACTCTTACTAGTACTTAACAACTAAGAAGTTAATACTACCCAGGCAGAAGGAGATTGTTAGTAATGTGACTGTTGACCCCATAGCTAGTAATGTACCATGTCAAATTGACCTCTACGCGGTTCCCTCTTCAAACCATTTTGTCACTGACTGATGGGCTACCTCATCTTATCTCCACTGGTGGCCCGCTAACATAAACCGTTAGCGCAGATGGGCGCATCATTCCATTATCATCTATTAAAAAAATACTACCACCCAATAAACTGAGATTTAACCTTTCTTACTAATGTACGTACGTATGTAAGTATGGAAAACAAACTTCATATGACGGTTTTCCACGAGGCGTAAGAATAACAAAGCAAGACATAAATAGTGAAATAAGAGAGCACAGGAAACGATATAAAATATGTACCATCCCCTCTTCCCATCCTTCATCCAACCTTAGGGCTTTTCCCGGGTAAGCTGCACACTAATTCTATAGTTTGGTGTAGTATAAATGTTATGAACTTACCAGAGAAACAAACAGATTGTTAAGATGGACAATTAAAAATTAAAATAACATGCATACATTTCAAAATTATATTTATTTATTAGTATAAAGCAACCAACACCAAATTAGCAATATAATCTTTAGTAATATAACATCTGTTGATTAATGAAATAAAAGAAATGAGAGTGAGTGACACATTAATACAACAATTTACGGTACATGCGGTAACAGCTCAAGAGATCAAGAATAAAAGATCTATAAAATCTATCCGATTAATACAATAATCATTTCTTATTACAATTCTTTACAATAAGCCATAAGGTTTATTGTACAAATATAATCCAGCTTTCCAATCATAATTTTACAAGATCCAGTCCCTATATGTATATAGATTTTTTTTATTTTTAATTATAAATATCATCATCAACCGCTTCCTATATGTCCCATTTATTTGGGGTCGGCGTAATATGTACACAAAGTATGTTAAGTTTTAATATATGTATACATTATATTTTATCTTTCTTCAACTGAAACACAGTCAGATAACAAGTTTCTTGGCACATGCACAATAGGCGAGACTGACCTAATCGACTATTTGTAAAGTCTACCTCGGCAAAATGTATCTGAACTATAATCTATTATATTAGTAATGAAAGTTGTATATCTTCAAACTTTTTAACAGCAAACATGTCATCAATCATAAAGGTTTATGCACACTGACCATTTTTGCAAACATTGGGCGACACAGGTTGACCACGGTAAGGCTTGGCTGGTCGCTTCATGCTCAGCTGTGGTAGGGATTTCTGTAATGTGTCTACACAGTGGGACGCTGGCTTCACAGCTTGAGTTTGTAGTCTGTGGGCAAATACGACGTACGAATAAATTACACAAGTCTCTATTTTAAGAGATAATTACTCAAGAACAGGCTGTAAATGTCGTATGGACCTCTCAGGGAATAGCTTCAAAAAGAAGTTCATAAAACACTTTTAACAGAGAATGGACATAAGAAAAAAACCTTTGATAATCTGAATTATTTATTATCTTTCCTCGAAATTGGTTTAACAGCTTATTTATTAAAATATTTAAAAAAATTTACATCAGAATGTTTAAGTAAAAAAATTACAAAATTAGTAGACTGAGTAGAGTTTTTCAAATTCAAATTCAAATTCAAAAATCGTTTATTCATGTAGGAAATTTCAGCCGCTTATGAACGTCAAGTTTTTACATTATAATTTTTTTTCCCTACCGTCCAGTTCGCTATATAGATCCAATTGAGAAGAACTGGCAAGAAACTCAATTGAATTACTCTTTTTTTTAAATCCAGTTTATTTACAATGCATAGGTATTTATATAGGTGTCTATGTCTAACATTAAATGAAAATACCGAACATGAAAACTATTGCCATGCACGCTCGTCATTCAAGTAATCGTTTAGTGAGTAATAGGCCTTGCTCAGTAAATATGATTTAACAGATGTTTTGAATTTATTTAAGGGTAATTCCAATATATCCTTTGGTATCATATGTTCGGAATCAACTTCTAATATCACCCATTTTAATTGAATACAACAAAAAAGATTTCTATGCAATTTTATCTAGTTATAATTATGTAATATATATAACTAGGTATAATAAGATATAATATAGATAATTAATATCTTAAAAAACAAGCTATATTGCTAATTTGCAACTTATTTCAAAGGGCAAAATCTTTAAATTTGCAACTTATTTCATTCTTTTTTGGCCAAGATAGATATACTGAAAAAACAATTATATTTTCTGTAACAAACAGAAGAGCGAGAATCTTCTATTTTCTTAAAATTAAAGATAGCAATTCTTTTATTCGTAGCTTGTACATTTAGCTGTAATGTCAGAACACTTACTTATTTTCCTCAGGCAAAGACATAGACCGTCCGGTTTTCCTGTTCGCCTCATAGATCCACCTCTCGTGTATCGCGACCAGCGGTTTCACGCTGAGGCTCGCTAGTAATTCCTCGTCAATGTTATACTTGGCATTACTGCGCAGCGATGACTTGCATGACCAGGAATTACTTCGATCTCTGGTCGCCTCGTCGAGATCAGGTGACGAGTTCTGTATTGGTTCCCTATTGGACATAAATAAATGTTTAACGAATAATAAGTTTTTTACAACGTCGTGAGAGAGAGAATTAGTAATATCAACTAAAGATTGTTCCGAGAGAGAGCGGTAGTCACGCCCCTTACATTATACTTATGAAAATACCAGACGTATTAATTATTGCGCTCACCAATAATATCTATATAGTTGAATTCAAATTCAAATTCAAATTCAAATTCAAAAATCATTTATTCATGTCAGATTTTAGTATGAACGTCAAATTTTTACATTATAATTTTATTTTTTTTTCCCTAATATCGCTATATAGATTCTTGAACAGAACTTCAATAAATGAGAATTACTTTTTTTTAAAGCCAGTTTATTTACAATGTATATTTATATAGGTGTCTATGTCTAACATTAAATGAAAATTCAGGCATGAACATCTCTTGCCATGCAGATTCATTCAAGTAATCGTTTAGTGAGTACATACTATCATGAAATATGATTTAACAGTAATTTATTTAAGTTATTCCAACATATCCTTTGGTATCTTAATGATGTAATTTTTATACCTATTCCCATAAAAGACTATTATTTTTTAAACGATACTTGGGGACAGCAAGTTTGTCTTTAAATCTTGTATTATGAATATTACTGTTTTTTGGAAATAAGTCAAGATTTTTATGAACATAAAGGATATTTGAATATATAAATTGAGAAGCAACGGTGAGAATATTTGCCTCTTTGAATTTCTCTCTTAATAGTCACGACTCTTCATACAGTAGATCGCTCGAACGGCACGTTTTTGTAATATGAATATATTTTTAATATCTGCTTTTCCCCATAGTAATATTCCATAAGAGAGTAAACTATGAAAATAACTAAAATAGACTAATCTAGCAGTATCAGTATCAGTGTACTGTCTAACCTTACCAACGACAAAAGCTGCTGAACTTAGTTTCAAAACTCACTGATTATATACACTAGTATCGTTATTTCACAAGTAATAAATTAAAAACAATAAATAAATAAGAGAACTGACAAAGACTGTTATCCGTGTTGCCAGAGAGAAAAAAAGTTCCTCTGTCTTCTCCTTTATCTTCTGTCAGATTAGTTACATCTGGATTCTCATGACTTTTATAATATCGCTTTAATTAACTTCTTAACAGACTTCAATAAATGAGTAAGTTTTTAATTCAACTGTATTTTTTACACATGCCACTTCCTAATAGTTTTCTACATGCACCAATTTTGGGAAATCTCTTCTTATATGAGATTTGATTCTTGTTGTGAAGTTACACACTATCATGATCTGACCAGTACTTTTAAGTTATACTCGTATCTAATGATGTGATTAAAGTATGTATGGCTTTATTATGTTCGTCTTACCGACCAAATCGAGCGATAGATTCTGTCTGACATCAACAACTTTAGTCCTATTGAAATATTTTTACCAATATGTAGCCTTACCTACTACATATATGCGTGCATAACTATGTACTCTGTTATAGACATACCTTTTAAATGTATTTTGCCGCATAACCAGACTCTCAGACGAGGATCGCTTCACATTATCCAACGACAAATTGGGTTGACTATGCATAGAAACATTATCTTGTTGATCCTTGATAGAATTCGGAGAGTGAACCGATGTTTCCGGTGAAGATGGAACTTTAATTTCTGAAACCAGCACTGCAACTTTATCGAAATTTTATACAGTCGCACAAAAATAGATTATTATTAAAAGTAGTAAAAAGCCAACGACACGCGGTGTTCCCAGGCGGTCACCCATCCAAGTACTGACCGCGCCCGATGTTGCTTAACTTCGGTGATCGGACGAGAACCGGTGTATTCAACGTGGTATGGACGTTGGCGACGATTATTATGAACATCTCGATTGCGATCAGTCTAATTGGTGACATTATTAAAAACAGTAAAAAGCCAACGACACGCGGTGTTCCCAGGCGGTCACCCATCCAAGTACTGACCGCGCCCGATGTTGATTAACTTCGGTGATCGGACGAGAACCGGTGTATTCAACGTGGTATGGACGTTGGCGACGATTATTATGAACATCTCGATTGCGATCAGTCTAATTGGTGACAATTATTAAAAAATAGTAAAAAGCCAACGACACGCGGTGTTCCCAGGCGGTCACCCATCCAAGTACTGACCGCGCCCGATGTTGCTTAACTTCGGTGATCGGACGTTGGCGACAATTATTATGAACATCTCGATTGTGATCAGTCTAATTGGTGAAATTATTAAAAAATAGTAAAAAGCCAACGACACGCGGTGTTCCCAGGCGGTCACCCATCCAAGTACTGACCGCGCCCGATGTTGCTTAACTTCGGTGATCGGACGAGAACCGGTGTATTCAACGTGGTATGGACGTTGGCGACGATTATTATGAACATCTCGATTGCGATCAGTCTAATTGGTGACATTATTAAAAACAGTAAAAAGCCAACGACACGCGGTGTTCCCAGGCGGTCACCCATCCAAGTACTGACCGCGCCCGATGTTGCTTAACTTCGGTGATCGGACGAGAACCGGTGTATTCAACGTGGTATGGACGTTGGCGACGATTATTATGAACATCTCGATTGCGATCAGTCTAATTGGTGACATTATTAAAAACAGTAAAAAGCCAACGACACGCGGTGTTCCCAGGCGGTCACCCATCCAAGTACTGACCGCGCCCGATGTTGCTTAACTTCGGTGATCGGACGAGAACCGGTGTATTCAACGTGGTTTGGACGTTGGCAACAGTTGTTATGAACATCTCGATTGCAATCAGTCTAAATGTTGAAATTATTAAAAATAGTAAAAAGCCAACGACACGCGGTGTTCCCAGGCGGTCACCAATCCAAGTACTGACCGCGCCCGATGTTGCTTAACTTCGGTGATCGGACGAGAACCGATGTATTCAATGTGGTATGGCGTTGGCGACGGCAACACTAAATGACCTGACGCCTACCTAACTTTTCGAAATAGTCTTTCGAAAAATAATAGTATGGACTTAATGGTGAATCGATTTAGCAATTGCCTTATAATGCGACCAATGCGTGTTCGAAGCTAACATAATTGTATTCCACATATTAACCGTTTGTTACATATTATGTGCATGTTTAGTAAATTATAAAATGCTCCTTAGTGGACCCAGACGATTGCGATATCATCTACACATAATAATAGGTAGTAATCTTTTTATTCATGCTATGTAGTTCAAATGGACGTAAATGTTATTTTATTTATACTACAATTTTCTTATTTCTAGTTCCTCACAATCAAATGTATTTACAACTAACAACATGTATAAATTACAACATTTAAAAAATACTCACCTTGCTTATTAATCTTCCTACAGATAAATTTTTCCGTACTCAGCTCTGTAGCACTCAAGTCACCCGACAGCCAGGCATTCTTCCTCAACTTGTTACTGCGAGCTATCGGCGTGGTGGGTAAACTATAATTCTTTATATCAAAATTGTACGATGACCGCTCACTTTCATTTTGATCTTTAAGTAACGCCTTAACAGAGTCCAAATTAAATTCTGGAACTTTAATGTGCAATGGTTTATACGACTTGGGCGTAAAACTGCAGCTTAATTTAGCTATAGGTCGTTCCACTTCACTTTGGTCTTTAATAGTTTCATTATTGAGTGCAAAGTTGGCTGTGCGATTTGGACTAAGTATACTACAGTATTCGGTGGAATCGCTTCTGTGTAGCGCGCCTGGTGTCCCTATGTCCTTATACCTGGCCTTAATTTTCGCTATCGGCGTCGAACAAACGCTAGAGTATTCTTTTTCTGGAAAATGGTCATACTTCAGAGCTGGGATAGTAAGACAGTTGTCGGCCATGCAGCATTTATCCGGGACAGCGTAAGTGTCGTTTCTGTTAGGTATAGTGTCGTATATTAGGCTGTCGTCACTTTTGGGACAGTGTTCGCTCTCGGTGGATGTATCCCCCTCATTGTGCACTACAGCTTTATGCTCGATGTGGGTTGTCTGGTAGTCGGAATCGCTGGGAGATACGGGATCCCAACCCGCCGAACTAAATGTAGATTTCTTTTTGGATAACTTTGCTGGTATTATTATGTATTCCAGCTCGTCGAGGTTGCGCTGCATCAAAAAAATGGAATTTAAATATATATATATATATATATTATATATATATATAGTGGTGGTCATATAATTAGAAACACTTCTTATGAATGAAGACAGCATAACCTAAACGTACAAATAATCATAATAAAATATACACATTCAATAATTAATAATCATGCAATAACATAACAACTCAAATTAAAAATTCATTAAATGGATAAAATATAAAACATATTTATTTTACTTTCAACTATAAAATGAGTCTTAAACATGTAGGAGTTTATTTACTGTCACTTGCCACTTGGACGCCAAATTAGAAACATTTTAAAAAAGAATACATAACTCGTTCTTTTTTTGAAATTGAAGGATAATATTTCTTTCTTGTCTTTTTCTATTATTTTGGCGGCAATTCAAAATTTAATCTGAATTCTATTTTGTTCGAAATAGCCAAAAATAAAAATTATGACACGTCAACTAGGCAAATAATTGTAAATTCACGTGTAGATCATAAATGGGCGTACAGGAGAAATGCTGAGCATTTACATTGTTTTATTAAGAAAGTTTTTAATGCAATTGATCATTATAAAAACATGGAAATGATGAAACAGTTGAAAATGGTCTTAGAAAGGCTCGGCTAAGAAAATCCTCTCTGAGAGAGGATAAGCTAATCGTTCGTATTGTTAAAAAAGACTCATTTAAAGGCTCCAACCAGATTAAAAATGAAGTTTTTTTGTCTGATGACCCGAGAAACATCTGGTCAAGACTGATACACCAAAGATTAATGGAAGCTAAATTGTTTGGAGGAACCTCTCGGAAGGTACCGCTTCTTACCAAGCAACACCGAGAGAAGCAATTATTATTTGCTAAAGAATATAGTAATTGGACAGTATGAGAATGAAAAGTGTTATTTTCAGATGAAACAAAAATAAATATGGTAAATTCTGATGGAAAGCGCTGTCTTAGACGTTCTTTAAACAATGCTTTTAATTATAAATACACAAGGAGTATAGTCAAGCATGGTGGCGCTAACATTATAGTCTGGGTATGTTTTTCCGGATGTGGAGTTGATCCCATTTGAAAGATTGAAGGTACAATGAATCAATGTCAAAAATATGTTAGAGCACACAATGATTCTCTACTCGGACGATCGTTTGACTGTAAACTAGATTTTTCAGCATGACAATGACCTTAAAACACGGTCAATAGCGCCAAATATTTTCTTACCGAACCGCGTACATCCGTTTTAGACTGGCCAGAAAATAGTCAGAATTTGAACCCTATAGAAAATCTCTGGTATATTGTTAAAAAGACATCTGGTATATTCTTAAACAAACGTAACACCAGTCAAAACGAACTATATGAAGCATTTGTTGAAGCATGTAATTCAATCCCCCTAGAAAAATGTATGAAATAGGTAGAAACTATGCCATGTCGTTGTAGTGCTATTATTAAAAATAAGGGATATGCCACTAAATATTAATTATAACTTTGGTAGGCTGTAGGTAGTAGCTATTTCCTAAATAACAATACAAATTACTAATTAGGGTTCATGATTTCTCGAGCTTTTCAATTTCTCGGGTCTCGAGAATTCTCGAGGTTAATTTCTCGGGTCTTCTCGGGTTGTCGAGAAATTTACATTTACGTACGTTTTCTCATATTATTTGGTTCCGATAACGTCAAAAAACTCAGTGTTTTCATTTGAGACGAAAACCACTGCATTTTTTGTTAAATATTAAATATAAAATTTAACTATAAAATTAATTATAAAACTTTTATTGAGTAGGTATATTTAAAAACATTATACATATATTATGAATAAGCAATTTTTTTTTTAAATACTGAAATATATTAGGTTCTTACATATGAAATTAGCGTTTTGTCGTACTGGCCACTTTGATCTTAAATATCTCCTCTTTGGTTAGAAATTTCAATTTCAAATTTATACGGCTATTCACTCATGCATTTGTTTTTCGAAAACCGTAATACATATGCTTGGTTTTTTCTTTGGATCACTCAGCTTACAAAATGGAAAACTTAAAATATCGCGTCATTTACAAGTACGAGTACGAGTTCAGCCATGGCACTAGTGCTGCAGAAACAGCTCAAAGGATTAATGATGTGTATGGCGGTGGTGTCCCAAAAGAAAACATAATACATTTTTGGTTCCAACGTTTTCGTTCTGGAAATTTCGACCTGCAAAACAATCCCCGTGGGCGGCCGGAGTCCAAGGTTGGTAATGAAGAATTGAAGGCTATTGTGATAGCACATCTATCGCAAACCACGTCCGAGTTAGTTGCAGGTTGCGGTGTTAGCGACAAAACTGTATTAATCCACTTGTAGCAAATTGGGAGGGTGAAAAAGCTTAAAAGGTGGGTCCCTCATGAATTGAGTAGACAATTCGCGTTTCGATCGACAAACGCGCGTAAACTGCTGCGTTACATTAGTCAACCGATATAATAATAAAAGGATTTTAAATCGAATCATTACCTGTGATAATGTGGATCTTGTATGATAATTGGATACGCTCATCGCAATGGCTTAACCCTGGCAAACCAACCAAATCCTGCCCCAAGCGAAGATTGAACCAAAAAAAGTTACTTGCGAGCGTTTAGTGGACTAGTTCCGGTGTTGTTCACTTCAGCTTTCTTAAATCTGGCCAGATGATTACGGCAGATGTGTGTTGTCAGCAATTGAGAAACCATAATGGAAAAGCTAGCTGCTAAACAACCGTGGCTGGTCAATCGCCGTAGGCTACTGCTTCAGGCTAGACCACACACTGCACAACTGACATTTACCAAATTAGAAGAGATTCAATTGTAATGTCTAAGACTTTACAATTGCTCCCCTGATTTTGCTCCAACAGATTACCATTTTTTCGAAATTTGGATAACTGATTGGGAAAAATTCAAATCCGATGGGGCAGTCCAAAGTCCAAAGATTTTATTGATATGTCCAAATGTTCCCGTTCAAATGTTTTTTTCAGTAAAGGGATCAATATACCTATGAGATGTCAAAAGTGCATAAATAGCAATGGTACATAGTTTGATTAAAAAAAAAATACTTCAAACAAAACACCACTGTTATATTTTGAAATTTAAAAAGCTTTTTGGCAGGTTATTTAGAAAAAATCTCCCTTACAAAAATACCAAAAAAAAATACATGAAAGAAAACCTTCATCTGTTTATTGGACCTAATATTATTCAGACTTATATTACGGACGAGAACCGGTGTATTCAACGTGGTATGGACGTTGGCGACGATTATTATGAACATCTCGATTGCGATCAGTCTAATTGGTGAAATTATTAAAAAATAGTAAAAAGTCAAAGACACGCGGTGTTCCCAAGCGGTCACCCATCCAAGTACTGACCGCGCCCGATGTTGATTAACTTCGGTGATCGGACGAGAACCGGTGTATTCAACGTGGTATGGACGTTGGCGACGATTATTATGAACATCTCGATTGCGATCAGTCTAATTGGTGAAATTATTAAAAACAGTAAAAAGCCAACGACACGCGGTGTTCCCACGCGGACACCCACCCAAGTACTGACCGCGCCCGATGTTGCTTAACTTCGGTGATCGGACGAGAACCGGTGTATTCAACGTGGTATGGACGTTGGCAACAGTTATTATGAATATCTCAATTGTGATCAGTCTAAATTGTGAAATTATTCAAAATAGTAAAAAGCCAACGACACGCGGTGTTCCCAGGCGGTCACCCATCCAAGTACTGACCGCGCCCGATGTTGCTTAACTTCGGTGATCGGACGAGAACCGGTGTATCGAAGATTATTATGAACATCTCGATTGTGATCAGTCTAATTGGTGAAATTATTAAAAAATAGTAAAAAGCCAACGACACGCGGTGTTCCCAGGCGGTCACCCATCCAAGTACTGACCGCGCCCGATGTTGCTTAACTTCGGTGATAACCGGACGAGAACCGGTGTATTCAACGTGGTATGGACGTTGGCAACAGTTATTATGAATATCTCAATTGTGATCAGTCTAAATTGTGAAATTATTCAAAATAGTAAAAAGCCAACACACACACGCGGTGTTCCCAGGCGGTCACCCATCCAAGTACTTCCGCGCCCGATGTTGCTTAATTAAAGTGATCGGAAAAGAACCGGTTTTCAACGTTTTTGGACGTTGGCGACGATTATTATGAACATCTCGATTGCGATCAGTCTAATTGGTGACATTATTAAAAACAGTAAAAAGCCAACGACACGCGGTGTTCCCAGGCGGTCACCCATCCAAGTACTGACCGCGCCCGATGTTGCTTAACTTCGGTGATCGGACGAGAACCGGTGTATTCAACGTGGTATGGACGTTGGCAACAGTTATTATGAATATCTCAATTGTGATCAGTCTAAAAATTATTCAAAATAGTAAAAAGCCAACGACACGCGGTGTTCCCAGGCGGTCACCCATCCAAGTACTGACCGCGCCCGATGTTGCTTAACTTCGGTGATCGGACGAGAACCGGTGTATTCAACGTGGTATGGACGTTGGCGACGATTATTATGAACATCTCGATTGCGATCAGTCTAATTGGTGAAATTATTTAAAATAGTAAAAAGCCAACGACACGCGGTGTTCCCAGGCGGTCACCCATCCAAGTACTGACCGCGCCCGATGTTGCTTAACTTCGGTGATCGGACGTTGGCGACGATTATTATGAACATCTCGATTGCGATCAGTCTAATTGGTGACATTATTAAAAGCAGTAAAAAGCCAAAGACACGCGGTGTTCCCAGGCGGTCACCCATCCAAGTACTGACCGCGCCCGATGTTGCTTAACTTCGGTGATCGGACGAGAACCGGTGTATTCAACGTGGTATGGACGTTGGCGACGATTATTATGAACATCTCGATTGCGATCAGTCTAATTGGTGACATTATTAAAAACAGTAAAAAGCCAACGACACGCGGTGTTCCCAGGCGGTCACCCATCCAAGTACTGACCGCGCCCGATGTTGCTTAACTTCGGTGATCGGACGAGAACCGTGGGTTAATTATGTAACACGATATGAAATTGTTTCTGTTGAAGTTGTGATGCAATATGAAATCATTTCAATTTAAAAAATGCGATCAAGTAAGGTCGAATGACCGCAACATAAATCATTTCTATCGATAAAACACTACTATGAAGTTGCAGCGGAATAGTGTTAATCCGACCAATTTAAAAAGTCAGTACATTAGATAGCTTATACCTTTAGAGGGATAATTTTAATTTATTGGGTTGTTACACTAGTTGGTTGATTTGAAACAATTTTTATTGCGTTCAAAAATTACAAAATATACTGCAGCGTTCACTTGTTCTTTTATTTTAATTTTATTAATAGACATTTAATAAAATAAAATAAAGAAAGTCTATTCTATTCTAATGAAAAAATAAGGTTAATAATTTTGAATATAAAAGCATATTTTATACAAACTATTTATAATCATTAATAATATTAATCTAACCTACAAATTAATTTTTCTTTTTTGCTATAGAAACCTAGGTAAGTACGTAGGTATCCATATAAATTTAAAATGATATGGGCACATCTTTTTAAATTTGTACATAATTGTAAAATGTCATTTACTAAACAAACAAATAAATTTATTTACTTTAAACAAATCACAGAGCACCATAAACGTTCCGTATTCTGTTCACAGAGCACCGTATTCATTGAAATAGTTTTTTAATTATATTAATATCATAATCAACCCTAATTTTATATTAAACATTTACTCTAGTTATACAACATTCTATGTGATTTGGGACGAAAATAAAATATCGAATTTGCAACACTGATGTCGTGTTGTGAGTCGTGACAATTTTCCCATTTTAATAAATTTAAAACCTTTTCACGACTTTCTACGTAATATTTAATATAATAAAAATATATGTAATACTGAAAATTACCAAAACAAGATAAATAATGCTGCTAATGCTGATATTTTAAAGATTGTAACCAAAAGAAACACCTTCTAAATTGTTTCTCATAATGTAAAAACCGTTTCAATTCCACGCTGTCATTTCGGCAAAATAGCGATTACGTGACGTTGCAACGAGGTTACTAAATCGACATTCGATAGAAATAATTTTTATCGATATGTAAAGTTGCGTTTACGTTGCAATGCTAGTTGACAGCGTCAAATGGCGTCTATATGATCGCATTATTGACAGATGACGTCATTTTCACTACGTTACATACGAAAATCGTTGCGAACGAAGTTACATAATTAGCCCACCGGTGTATTCAACGTGGTATGGACGTTGGCAACAGTTATTATGAATATCTCCATTGCGATCAGTCTAAATTGTGAAATTATTCAAAATAGTAAACAGCCAACGACACGCGGTGTTCCCAGGCGGTCACCCATCCAAGTACTGACCGCGCCCGATGTTGCTTAACTTCGGTGATCGGACGAGAACCGGTGTATTCAACGTGGTATGGACGTTGGCGACAGTCATTAGTAAGTATGCCTAGACTTATCTAATATTACCTAAATTTTATTATTATATGAGGGAACGAAAAGGGATAACAGAAAAAAACATAAAAGTTGGCAGTGTCAGCTATTGTACGAAATAGCATTAGACTACTCATTGTATCTATACAAAGTGAATAGCGGTAGCGGTTTTCAGTCTATACCACGTTAATTTGAACTATTGCATTTAATAGTTCAAATTAACGAAGTATAGACTGAACCTGAACCTCTTCCACTTATCAGTCGCCTCAAATTTCTTATAGTACCTTACAAGTTTAGTCTAACTAGAGAAATTTTATTGTAGGTGTTATTCACACAGTGATGAAATAACAAAATGGTTACATATAGGTACCAAGAATACGTTATTCGTGTATACCAGTACTTTAAAAATAAAAAGTATTTTTCTAAATTAGTATAAAAGTCTCTATTTCCGTCCGTGTTTTTGTACGCTGACTGACTCTCCAGTGAAGGTAGCACCAATATCAAACCAAAAGTAACGAAAGAGACGTCGGTAGGCTCGCCTTCTGTCACTGTGGATTCAAATAAACCCAGCAAAATGAGTACATGTTGTGTACAATGACAGTTGATAATGCGTCGACTACACCATTTGGGATAAGTCATGCGGTAAGTTTGCGAAATTCTTCTAAAAGGTATTATATTATATACTGTGTATTAATTATAAAAATATATAATCATTTGGCTGATACAATAAATATCTATTAAGATAAAAATAGATTAAACACGCGAAAGTTTGTGAGTATGGATGAAGGTTTGTTAAAAACTACTGAACTAATTTTGATGAAACTTCACAATAATAAAGCTTAGACATCAGAATAACATATAGGCTATAAATTTCACGGAGGTGAAACCGCGGGTACAGTATATACTAGTATATAATAATTTGGTTAATACAATAAATTATATATAAACAGTAAAATTGTTGGTATATTAATAATACCCTGATATTAAAGCTTATTTATTGTATTGCCGATGAATCCTCACATACTCGTTGCTTTATCGAGCATGTATTTTGTGTTAACAATCCATTCAGTCTACTTCTATAAAATTTCACCATTTGGTACTAGATGGCGCTGTTCGTTTTTAGAGCTCGCTATAATTTCATTCACAATGACATAAATACTACTGTACATATACATATATACAGTGCAGGTCTAAATAAATGTTGTTTCTCTTAGCGTAAAGTATATTTTGATTTTGAAATACGGCCTCGATCTAGCACACCGCCTTACTTCCGATGGTTGCTGGTTTCATACCATGCACGGCACAATCTTTTATATTTATGAGTCGGTTTGGATGTTTTCTATATAATTTACAAAGATTACCATCTATGTATTTGTATCACTTGTCTACCCATAACACAAGCTCTGCTTAGCTTGGGACTAGATGGCGCTGAATGTGAATTTTCCTGAAATATTATTATTATAGAAATAAAAAAAAGAAATTCCTACCTTTACAGCTTGTAGTGTATCCTGAAACATTGTAATGTCTATGCGATCAAGCCGGCGCAGCTTTAGGCCATTTTGCAGCAAAGACAATAGACAGCCCGGGTATGTCCCGTCCTGGGGCAGAGGCATGCCAGTGTTCCATAGTGTATACTGTTCTTTTAGCTTGTCGTATGTAAGACTCCTCCATGGAATGGCAGCTGCATGCAACATATAACACCATTAGACGCGGTTTAGCAACAATAAAAAAATATTCCAAGAGAATTAATTTCCTTAATCTTTAATTCAGACCTTATAAATTCAATTTAATTCGTTTATTTGTTATCTAAAATATGACTATGAGTGCATGCAACATAGTACAATATTCCAAAAAAACCCTGCCGTTTCTGGAATTAGCCGGAATTATTAAAAAGTATATATAAAACATTGGTTATTAAAAGATAATAGTGGATTTGGAGATAAGCTCATCGTTGTACATGTCATTTACGTATAATAAACCAGTACAATTCATACAGTCCCAACTTACGTCTACTATAGATACTAATATAATATATAAAACAAATAAAAATACTTAAATACATGTTTTCTGTAAACACATAACAAAGAAAGCAGCCAGACAAAATCCAGTGTGCGAATTCGACCCGCAACCATGATAAGTAAGGCTGTGTTAATTTACTAGACCACCGAGGCCTTCTACTTCATAATTTATATTAACATTTCCGTTGTTTTCTATTCTAATAATGATTTTATACAAGAGTACAGTTAGCATACTGACCGTTACAACTCTCCCACAATACAAGGCACAGTGAGTACACATCGCTCCGACAGCATGGGTGTACGAGTCCATCATCGTCCGGCTCGAACAGCTCCGGCGCTTGCCATCGGTATTGTTCCGATTTACCGTACACTTTGTATGGCTTGCTAACCGCATTCGCCGAGAGGTAACCTTCTGATGAACGACTCGAAAGAAGTGGCTCACTCTCTATCACCTTGGATTCTCGGGTGTCTGTATAGAAATATTAATTACTAGCTGTGCTCGCAACTTCGTTCGCGTGGAATACTGACCTTGTATAGAATGCGAAAAATGCGAAAAAATGCTTTTTTCGCATTAATTTAAATCTGTTCAAGTTATAGCGAGTAAGCGCGATAGACAGACAGATTTACTTTCGCATTTATAATATTAGTAAGGAAGTAAAAATTATTAGAAATATTATAAATGAAAAACTCCTACGTGTTGAGGATGTGTATTGTATTTTTGCAATGGCAAATAATCTTACAGCCAACCTGATGATAAGCAATGCCTGTGTATTGTGTAAGTGTGCAGTGTTAACTACGGACATCGCTTTATCATAAGAACCGCGATGACTACTTCTGAAAAATCTATAAAAACCCAGTTTAAGTAAGTAATTTATTCAAAACATGAAAAAAAAATAGCAGGTTGTTTTATTTATGTCAATTGGTCACAATGAACTTCAAATTATGTGGGCTCTATAAATACATTAAATTAAACATTTCGCAAGTATTTTATTAGCTTTCGACAGTACTGTAATGTAATGGTGAATTTTCTGATAACAATCAGAGAGATTGTCAATTGTCGACGTAAAAGTAACGGTAACACTTGATATGCTCATATTTCTCTGGGAAATTTGATTCCAATGCTGTAGGGAGCTCCTAACATGGTTTCCCGGATTAATTTTAAGTTTAATATAGGAAAGTGAGCATTCGGGAAAAGCCGGAGGATTCCACTAGTTTGTGTTTACTGGTGTATTAATAATTTCACCACGATGGGCAAACTTCGCATGAATCATGCTTACCCTCCACTCATGCCCCAAAATGTTAACGAAAGCGGGAGCACCGTACATTAAAAAAACCGGACCTGGAGTTTTGAGTCATTTTGACTTCTTCCTCTCTGATCATACAATGCGCAGAAGATTTTTATGTAACTAGATTTTACCTACGGCTTTAAAAGGTGAAATTTTACATTTATTTATAAAAAAAATTGCTGATTACTCTCGTCTGTCTTACCTTCAATGTTAACATATTGAGGTTCTGGTGTGTAAAGGTCATAATTTTTCTCCACTTTGTCGTTTACTCTTGGTACCTTCACGCAAGGACCAAGGTCGGCGAGCTTGGCAGCTCCGTGGCTGGACACCATGATGCTGGCACTGTTCAGCTCCGTGTGAATGTACCCTTGCATGCGGAGGAACACCAGCGCGTTGGCAATATCAAGTGCGTACTGGACTGACGTCTGAGCGCTTAACATTCGGCCCTGAAGGATTTATTTTAAATTATTATTATTTCTGTACAAGGAGTAACTACAAGATTTTTTTGACGAATACATTATTTAATTTGCTTGCACTTGAGAAATATAAGGAACATGTTTTATACTTAAGTTTTACTTTTTGACATTTATAATTAACAATCACAGCTTAGTAACGTAATTATTGCGTATTGACAAAAAAATTTATTCGGACTAAAGAAGTACAGAAATAAAAATTACCCGTGTTGTCGGGTAATATATCAACACAAGAAGGCGAGACCATAACACATCAACATAAGCGCCTAATACCTTAACTTACTACTTAAAGAGATTCAACTTTTAACTTTTTATAAATAGATTTATTCGGGGTATAATAGGAGTAAGGAAATAACATTTTACACTACATACAGTTACACTTTTAGTTCGCACAGGAAATAAACATTGTTTCTTGTTAATCGTACTCATTATAGCAAATAAAAAAGAGGATAGAAAACACTTCTCACGCACATTATGTCCACTATTTACATAAGGAAACAAACGTAATTACATGGTAGCGACAACATTGGTAGATCGTAATCGCATGTTAGCCAAATGATTAATGGAATCAACAAAAAATGTAGACTTACCTTGAAACCTAAAGCGAGTTAAGACAGTCAATACAGATATTAATTAAAATTATATATAATTATAATAGGAGGCACAATTTTATAGTCTATTGTCCATTACGGAGATCAAGATATTAAATAAAACGCTTAATACTATTCTTAGCATTCGTTTTTGACGGTAAAGACTTGACAAGATTATTCACCATATTAGAGTAGAAAAACACATCATAGAACATTTTGAATACCATTCATATTTTTTAAAAGGTTGTTGAAACAATTAACTATCTTTACGTTAGGTTACTTACTGAGTAGGTAGAGTTAGAACGTGTTTAAAATTTTTATACATTATGTCTTACTTTTTTACCTCTATATGACTTCTGTTATAATAAACAGAATAGATACATGTAATGTATTCTAAAACTAGAACAAGACAAAAATACAATATAAAATGTACCAATAGTATCATAACCAATCCCAACAATAAATAACATCTTATTCCGCCCAGTCAACTAGAAAATAATTCTAATGTCCTAAAATCCTAATAAATTATTATAATGATCGATCCACCATGACACACACATGTAACCATTACGACCATAAAGATGGGGTAGTCAGAAACTTTATCGATGTAGTCAACGCAACATTTTTATTATAGTATACACTACCTATTTGGTTAATTCCAGATGAATCATAACGATAGACTAACTGATTTCATAATAATTCTATCATCCTTCACTAGTGCCTCGTCAGCGTATAGTGTTACAAGTACCATTCCATCAATATCCATACAAATTATTATTAGGCGTATGTAAGTTCATTTTTTTAGAGGGTGATAATGGAATGGTTTAACGCTGGCGTAGCACCAGTGGAAAATGAACATGAAGTCAGATCAGTTAGTCCAATGTGACAAATTCACTGGGAATTTATAACGATGTTTTCTAGGAGGAAACGCGTGGAGGTCGACCTGACATGGTACAGACACTGACAAAACGGACAAGGAATGTTGTTCTCGTGCCCGATCCCGTGCATGAGCGTGGGGCAACAGCCGGGGGCAGAAGCAAAATATCATAGTATACAATACAGTTGGCACCTTACCTGAATATGTATTATACTATACAGTGTATCAACGCATCTCTCACAGATAAGTTGAATGTTGTCGTGGACGTCCGGATATAGACCCATTAGAAGTATAATATTAGGATGGCGACATTTTCTGTAAAAAAATTGATGCTATCATCAAAGTTATATGTACATCTGTAAGACTATTTTTTAGAAAGAACAGACCCATATGTGTGTAATACTAACTCAATATTAGTACTATATAAATGCGAATGTGTGTTTGTTTGTTACGCTTTCACAAATAATATACTATAATTCAGAGCTACATAGGTTAGCTTTTGATTAGCTAAATTTGAAGGGGATGAAATATCGGATAAAAATTGTATGGGGAATCCTTAAATTCTCGAGTAGCAGATATAAAACTAACTGTAATAGTAAAATAGTCTACTCGAAGGACCAACAGCTAGTATTAAATAATTTTTAGACACATCGTGCTCCCTTTAGGGCTAACTCCGTGATTCGGAGTCTGCATTCCAAAATTTGTTGTTTAAGCTAAAAGAGGCATATATTTTCTCAATTAATATAAAAATAAAAAAGCTTGTACTGTAATTAAATTATGAATTACAAATAGCATGCAAAGCAAGCAATGTGAACATGAACATCGAAGATATATCAATTTCGCAATACGCCTGATTACGCCTCGATGCGTGGTGGCAATCTTCGTGCAACCAATACTCAATGTTTATTCTCTGATTTATTCTATTACAATTAGAAGCACTAGCATTTTTATGGTAAACAGCAGAAAAGGTTTTATTTACGTTTGTAACGAGTTTTAGCGCGATGATTCTAGATTCCTGCTATTTTTCATATATAATCTTATTAACTGCTGGGTCTTATAAAATATTTGCTATTGTATGATATACACACTAAAGAGAAGAGATAATAGTAAGAAGTGAATGTAGCACTGATGATAATAGTGAACTGTACCATTAAATTTAAGGGACTAATTAAAAACAATGTACTTAATTTAATAATTAATTTTAGTACTATATTTTTTTAGCACCTATATGCTTTGTATTGTAAAGTTTATTAAATATAATAAATAGTTTTTGTGTGATCATACCTCAAAATATTTATCTCCGTGTTCCTTTTCTTTTTAACATTCTCTATGGTGACGCCGGTAAGTCTTTTTATTTGAACCGGTATAACACCCCACTTGCCTAGATTCCAGCATTTCTTGTGATCTATAGTGAAGTCCAAATTACTTGCGCTTGCAATGCGTAGACCGTAAGCGCTTGTATCGCTCTAAAACAAAAAGGTACGTATAGAAATTAATTACAATTCGCAAAAAACAACAAAAATATACATCATTCAGTAGGTAAAAAGTAAATAAAAATTAATACAGTAAATGATACGTTACTTTACTGTCCTCAGATCTCGTTGCATTTGGAGACTGCACCAACTGCTCATCCGCCCAGCGGTCAAAATTTTTTAATTCACTCATGACTTCCCAAAGCTTGTCTTCGCAACCATCGTTCTTAACGCATTCAGACGAACTCTGACTAGATACTTTGAAATCTCCGAGTGCCTTACCATTGTCATCTCCATCGTCACTTCTAGAGCCGTCTAGAAAGTTTTTCACATCAAAAGGTAGAGAATTATTTCTGTAAAATTCAGGCGAGTCAACGAGATCTTCATCTTTGAAATCAAGTTGTTTTTGAGTCATAAAATCTGGCTCTGGTGATCTAAAGACCCTTTGCCGCGATTGGCGTCTAGACTTCGGGGGCTCTGAATACGCAGTTGCAAACAAATCCCCAGGCATAAATACTTGGTTTTGGAAAAGGAATTGTATATTTGGAACCCCGTCTCTGTCGTCAGATGTCGCACTGCGAACGCGTTTGTGAATTTTCTTTTTATATTTGACGGCTGATTTCTTTTCGTAATTGAAAGTATTGTCGTGGTCTGCTGTGCAGTTTGTACATGAAACAGGTAGGGAATGTCTGCCACATTTCTTTTTCACAGGGGTTATTTGAAGGTCTTTGTTGCCCCCAGATCGCCTCGCTTGGAATTCAGCCAAATCTCGTTTGTATTCTTCGGTTCGAATGGTTCCTACTTGAGGGGCACTTTGTGTATTTGGTTCTTCTGGAGTCGTGGAGTCGGGACCTACGTTGTGACGAGTCGTCAAAGTTACTCGCTCCCTATAGTCAAACATAAGCTATAAAGTAAGGTAATATTTAATTTGATATCGGAGAAGTTATTAGGGCTTTTGTTTTACTATCGCCTCTGCGCTAACAATATAAAGATACCAGTAAAAAAGTAGGAATAAAATCACTAGATAGGTCGTATCTTAGGAATTAAATTATTTTTTCGACATTGATTGATTCCTAAGGTTTCGACGGACTAAATGATCTCCCGTTCTGATTTCGGCGGACTATGTCCGGAAATTTTGGTCACAGTATTTATATTCATATTTATATTTATTTATATTGATGTATATGTTTTCAGTTCCCATAATCCACTCATACGACATCCCAGGGTGAGAGAGGAATGCGACATATTACTCCTTCAACATGGAACTTAATGGAACTTTGACAATTAAGTGCTGAATATGTATTATTTAATGAGATAACTATTATACATATTGAATTATAACAAGTCATATTTCGAACATCAGAAGCCTGTATAATTTACGTCATCAATACTTTAATATTTATCTTTCAAATTCAATACTTTAAAATTAATACTTTAAAAATCTTTGAATATCAGACTATGACTAACAGCAACTAATGGCTGTTTGGACGGCTCGGCGTTCAGGTGACTAAAGCGTGGGATTGTCGCGGGTCAACGGAGCGATACACTTGATGGGTTTTAGTAGCACAGTTTTATATTGAATACCTGAAATGGTACTCTCGAATGAGGAAGTTACGGAACATAATTGACAACCTCTGTGGAGCAGTGATAGACTGGTTGCTTGGCGTATAATTATAAGGTCTACAGTTCGATCATTTAACGGGCCAACTTAAATAAAGTTTTTATATTGTATTCTATATCTTGTATCTATGCCTCTTATTGGCTATCTGTAGTAACCGAAAACATTTCGCTTTTTTATTCTTAGGACGTAAGAAGCAACAACGGGATTAGAGCGTAATAAATCAGTCCTAGGGAAGGAATATTCGTAACAAAATCATATGCGAACTCGGTAACGTGATAAGAGTAGGTTAATATCTTTGTTTAAACTATTGTCCAGTAGGGGGATGAGGGGCAGCATCATGAGTTGTATGGGATTCGGGTGATTTCGGATAACTTGCCCTGTTTTTGTGCGGTTAGAACTGTCGGGCTTTATAGTATGTTACTTATAGATAATATAGCTTTTTAAAGATGAAAGTATTTTTCAAATCGGTTAAGACTATGTTTATTACTTGTATCAGTAATAACTATGTGTTACGTGGTATTATATAGTTATAAAAAAAATTATGAATTACATAAACATAATTGAAAATTACAGTATGCGTCATAAAACATCCATAATATCGTTACCAGGTAGCGAATACACCTGTGTCGATTAAAATCGAGGTTAGTGTATACTTTTACCGATTAACAATTTGATAGAGCCTCCAACTAATAATGTTCCGAGACAATCGGAAGAAGTATTAAAAACCTACTGATAATTAAATAAATTACAATAAGTACCTTATAAACATAATGCGGAAGTTTGTGAGTATCGATGGATGGATGGATGTTTGTTACTCACTCACGAAAAACTACTGAATGGATTTTCATTAAATTTTACAATAATATGGCATATACATAATAATAATAAGTACATAGCATATAAATACTACGCGGGTGAAAGCGCTGGTACAGCTAGTCTCAGCTAGTAATGGAAATCTAGTTATTTCATTAATTTTTCTAAGTTGCTTTGACACACGAAATATATACTAGAGTACTTGTATGAATATAAAAATATCAATTGAAGTTTAAAACTATATAACTTTCGTTCGAAATGCGTAGTGTCATTTCGTAATAGATCCCCTGTAACAACTCTGCACATTGCAGAATGACACATGACTCTACACGTCTTTTACAGACCACAACGAAAGCTCGACTCTGAATAGAGTGATCAAGATTATGCCAATGATATGAGATCAAATTATAAATCAAATCCGTACATAATATGACGGTATACAAACAATAGATTACGCAATTTTACAATTAAAATAGAAAGCATCTCGAATATCTACCCAATTTTAAGTGACACGATGATAATGCTTACATAAATAAGTTGGACGAACATCAATTTTGGTTATTTGGAAGGCAATAAGAAAATAATTCGTCTACGATCAACAACAGTTTGGTGAAAGTGAAATTTCAATAATGCTGTTTTAGTGAATGCCACGAAAGGCTTCTGATTGAATCGAGTAATTAATATAGGCATCAATCATCGAAGCATTATAACAGAATTTTTTCGTTATTTGTGGTCGAGATGTTTGTGATTGTGTATTAATATTATTGAACAACAAATACCTGCCAGTCGGTGAACAAAAAAAATTGCTTTCCCACGACAAATACGATCAACGTAATATTTTTTATGTAACTGAAATAGCCATTAAGGTGATGGCCCACCTGATGGAAAGTGAAAACAATGGCATATAGACATAAACATAAACAGTATCAAGGATTTATATCACAAAACCGTTCCTTGAATAGGTGACATCATATCCCATCTCGTAGGTACCATGTAATTTTTAATTATAAAATAATATGCCTCGACAATTCATACAACGCCATCTAGTTCGAAGCTAAGCGGATTTTATGTTATGTGTACTAGACAGCTAATATAAATACTAAGATATATATTTATTTTAAATACATAGAAGACCGATACAAACAATCATATTTAGTAATACTTGCAAATATTTGCACCATGAGAGAGATTGAACTTGCGACCATCAGAAGATATATATATATATATATTATTTTATATGCTATATTATATACGGTACGTACTCACCGTATATAATTTCATATGAATTTTAATTTGAAATCATAAACAGACGCCTAATTTTTATTTATTGCTATGTATACACGTTGCGTGTTGTCAAAATATGACATTACTAGCTTTACTAGTTCCTTAAAGACGGAGTTAAAGTTCTTATCAATCGTGATTTAACTTTTTATGTTTTTGTTGTAGCTTATTACGTATCGTGTAAACTGATATAGGTATATTTATTTATAGAATAGCCAGTTATGACAAACAATAAATCCGAAAGTAACTCAAACCAACTTTATTGCGCTTGTTCAGAAAATATTTATTCGAGATTGTCGTATATAAATATATACGAAAGGATAATCATCAATAATTAGATGTGGTGATAAAGCGTGTATAACAGGGGCTTATAGAAGGCAGAAACTTCTTAAAAAAAACAATATTGGACCTCTATTACTCTTGGGACGGGTCTTATATTTTATGATGTCATATTTTAATTTGAGTACCTATTTAAGCACCAAATTTTAATTATTTAAAACTGACACGAGGGGATGAGAGCAGGGGGCGCCAAATACTGAAATTGCGGTAACGTAATTTTTTAATTTTAATTTACACTGTCAATTTCCGCGCAAAATTAATTACTTCGGTTACTGCACTAAGTATATTAGGACCGAAACCGGAACTACGTTAATTAAAGTGAGAGATAAGACTAAAATACTGTAAACTTAAACAACCAATACCTACGTCATCAGAATCGATGAAAGGAAAGAAGCGATTGCTCTGCCTTATAGCAGCTATTACATTAAATGTCACAGGTGTAAGAAGTTACGAGAAGTGTTATGATTTTGTATACGGTTTTTCATGATCACAATTTATCAGCGAATCTCAGTCGCCCATCTCTTTAATTAGTTTTTAACTTAACGGAACCGCCGTATCGATAGCGGCGTCAATTATCTCGTCTAAGGAATTATAGGAATACCAATACTGTAACCAATAAAAGAACGCCCTGGAATTATACAATTTGTAGAGGGTATTTGAGTTTTTATATCCCATGCAACTTACCATTATTAAATACTAAAATAACCATTCTTTTTAAATTATAGAAATGGAATGAAATACTGATACTATTAACAAATATAACACCATTACAAAACTAGAGCATACAATAAAAATAGCTATTTTCTTTTTAAACAATGTGTGTAAAAATTTTATTCAATAAATCATGTTTTTTGTTGTAACCATAAATTTATGGAGTACAGTTTTTTTTTATAAACAATATAAAACAAACCTATAAGACATGTGTACTATATATCTCACTTGAACTTGAAACAGTGTTTGTTATAAAGTGAGGAACAAGATTCCAATTAGATTCCATTATTACTAAAACATTGTATTTATACATTATATTATAATATTTTCATTTTATATGAAGCATATGATGGTTTTAGATTTATAGAATGATGAATGATGTATGCTTGTGTGCTCTTGTAGAACAATATTATATTTTATAATAAACAAATACTCTGTGTAAAAATTTAAAATAGTACTAAAAGTATTTAGATTTAGGTATAACTATACCTTAAAGTTTTTAGTATATATTTTAACAATACAAATATAAAATTATAATATATTTTTCCTTACCTGATTTTAAGAAATTCCTCAAACTATGTATGTACTATGTACACATACTGTTTTAAGAATATAATAATAAACTCTTATCCAAAATTAACTTTAATATTAAATATAAAATTTCATTACAGAATAGGATTTCCCTACCCATGAAGTGTAATGCAATTAAATGCATATAAATGCACAATGGGTATGAGCAAATCAACCACAATATAATGTCCTTCATGTATTGAATGTGTATGAAAAGCCCAAACAATTCTGATGGCATGGCATTTTAGGTGGAGACATTACATCATGGTGTGACAATGCCTATGGTATTTCATTGTTGAGTCATGGGTTGGATCTACACAAAAAAGCTGATTGATCAAAGAAAAACTTAATGTATTAATGGAATTAATTTAATAGATATTTATAAATGGAGATAATTTTAATTATGTAAAATTTTAAATATGTATAATAAAAAGTATAAACCTCTCTTCTTACTTTATTTTAAAATTTTACTTAACAGATAGTTACTAGTTTTTTCTTAAACGGTATCATCATCATTCCAGCATTTCTACTGTTGAGCTATGCATATAATAATCATGTCCTTTACTTGTAAAACTATGTATGTAGGTACATAAATGAAACTAAAGAAATAAATTATTGTATCAGTATGAAATAAAATGAATACAAGCTGTAATATAGTATTCCTTCCAGTAATTACAATCTTATGGACAAGTTGTTACTTACCGGCGCAACCACTTGAAAACTCCCATGTCCTGCAGTGAATCCACTTTTCTGTCCAAAATTATAGCACTACATCAAAATCCAATACTTTCAACGATTACTAACAGTCCTAAATAGTTTATAAACAAAATAATTTCCAACACCAACTTAAAAGAACAGACAAGACGAGCACGCGGACGTTACCGGCGCATTAGAAGTCCGATCGCTATAAAAAACGACTAGCAACAATGAACACCGATATATTGTGCGGTCAGACAAAACATGAACAGCACGCCATTCGCAATGAGCTGAATTTAGTTTTTTGTACAAATTACTTTTCGTCGCGCTCCGTTGATCCACTTCATCCGCGCCGGTCGAGCTTGGGCCTCGCTTGTCTGGTCTGCGGTCACAGGCGCCTCGTCAACCGTACAAAACGATAGATTCGGATTTTGAATATAAATGTAAAGATTTCACAAAAATAGACTACATGGTAGGTAGTTCGACAATTAGAAAACTATTATTAAGTACCTACATATTATGTTGTTTACATTACCTTTTTGGTATTTGTGTATAGCATATATTTCTAGTATCCGTACTAGCTTTATATTCTTTTAGAAACTTCCTCATCACAGAATACTAAATAAACAAAATTTCAACGTGCAATTATAATGAGACTTGATTTCACGCACACGTCATTGATTCAATAATACTGTGTTCAAATGTAATTCTTTATAATTATATACAAAGAATATAGTAGATTTTACTATACCTATTCCTATATGTGCTATATATTTTTGAAAGTAATGATATGGTCAATGACATTTAATTGGGAAGAAAATGTCAATTTAGTAAACTATGAAATAAATTAAGAAACAATGGAATAAAATACCTAATAAAAATATATGCCTAGTAATTGATTTTAAAATATAGTTTAGAGCATTAGATCCAAAGAATATACTACTCAATAGATCGGATCTTTGTAGGTGCAATTAATAATAGGTTTGCAAATTAACACTTCCTTAACTTTCCATTTCCGGCCCTTTTTAACATATAAACAACTCTTATTATATATAATATCTAAAAATAAATGTTAAAGTACATAGTCGTAATGAATTAATACCCTTTTGCTATATTTACTTTACTCTTTGATTAATATTAAATATACAATTAAATATACTTCACTTTCTTCAATTAAAGGAATCAGTTACTTAATTTTTTTAATTTCTACTATTTCCGGATCTCTGCAAACGGGGAACCACAGAACAAAAATTTGTTCTCTGACAATAAGAGGGTCATTATATTGTTTTTGTTTGATTATTTTTATTTATTTGGCAGCAGCAAATTATAAAAACCATAATAATGATCTTAATAGTTACTAAAATATGGCCTCGCAATACACAATTATTTATTTTAAATAAGTGTGTTAAGCAACACTACCTTATTGTCAAATTAAAAAGCTATCACTCAGAACCATAAAAATATTGACAAATAAAACCATCCGATTAAAAAAATATTCAAAATAAATATTGACGAAACGTTGTTTTTGAATTTGATTTTATTATTTTTTTGTTAAATTAATATAATTATTAATGGATGAGCTGCGCGGGCCAAACATTCAAATAGTTCTTCATGTGAAAGAAGGTACCGTGTTTTATAAATCGAAGTTTGAATATATATTTGCAGTACAATTTCAGTATTATTATTTATCTAATACTAATATGTAGATTGTGTATATTTTTTTAGGACTAGGATTTGGTTTTCTTCGAATTCCTTTTATAGTAAGTGGTTCTTTGAATGGTTATATGTTGGAGACGGATCCAGTAGTTCCAACACATGCACCAATTTTTGATGCCGAACTAGTTTGGGAAGCTGACAAAAGAAGGTTTAGAAGGTATGATATTGGTAGAATACTTTTTCTTAAATTGTAGTAGGAACGAAACTAAAACTTGGAATATTCCTAGAATATTAATTTATATCCTCAAAATTATTTGCTGTAGTTACCATACATGGGTACCATTCATGGTCAATTTATATTAATATATGTACATTAATATTTTTTATATTTTGTAGCCTCCGTGTACAGAATGTTCCCGTCAAAGTGGAGGTGTATACCATGGGAACACAAGGTCGGAAAGATAAAGTTGGATACTTACTACTCAGTCTGCTCAGTGCACAACCATGTCCATCAAATAAAGTTATAGATGTAAGATTCTTACTGTGTTGTTATAAACTAGTAGTTTGTTCTGGATGTTTATTTATTATCAAAATACCTTGGAAATACCTTATACTGACTACTGCAGGTACTTTGTGAAATAAGGTGCAATGTCAAGGGAAGCTTGCTACTGTGGAACACCATCCCAGACTATGGCCCTCCTACTCTCCTATCCTTTGTACCCAATATCTTGCACAAAGGAAGACCTAAAAAATGCAACCAAGAGTGCTAAAATTTTTACTACTTTCTGGGGAAAAATAATTTTGTTAGCACTGAATTGTAAAAAGTAGATGCAGCACAATAACCTATCTGAATAAGTATATCTTTCGAACAGTGAAATCATTTCTCAATTTGGTCCAAAGATTCATAAGTTTACTATTCTTATAACAAAATCCACACTCTCTCTTTGAATAAAAGCACAATCATCTCTGTTGTTGGACTGTAAAGAATAAAATAATGTTTAATGAAAAACAAATAGTACTTTCATGTTTTCTAAAATACATAATTTTAGAAGAATAATTTCGTATTTCACACCTCTGGTTACCTACCTACCTTTGCAATAGGTTTGTTAAACTAGAATTCTCTTCTTGAATGCCTAAAAAATAAAAGTAGATGGAAGGGTGATGTTAAAACAACTTTAGTCTCACAAATTTAATTCTATTTAATTTAGATAAAACACACATGGCACAGGCTGCTAGGTGTAAAGTCTGAGGGTAAATGCTGCCATCCACAGTTGCTATTAAGTCTATCTATTGAAGATCGAATGAACACACCAACTCCTGTAAGTATATCATATTATATTTTTTATCAAATTTATTTATTTATTGTACTTAATATGTTTGTATAGTATGTGCTCAAGTAAATGAGTGGGCAGTATATAATTTTTGTATTTATAAAATATATTTATGTAGTCTCTGAATTGGTTAATAGCAATATTCTATTGTTAGGTAAAAATTGTTTACAAATAAATTATTAATAAAATTATTTATGGGCATTGGCTGAAGATGGTACAGGGTCAGTAATCAACCTGGGATGTAAATAATTTGATTATAATTATGGCATACTAGCAGACCCACTCAAGTTCGAGCAGACAGATTGAAAAACAAATAAGTTTACTCCATTTGACAACCTTTTTCATTTATGAAATGTTGGTATTGCTGGTACCATAATGTTTCATAGCCTATAGCTCCTGTATGAATTGGCTATTGAACAGTTTTTCATGATAATCTCATTTCTATGTCAATCACGTTTTCAATGTGAAAAACATACAAATATTTCAGCTTTCTAATAATAGTATAAGTAATATGTAGATTGTATTGTATGAGCTGCATAAAAGAAAATAATGTTATCACTGATTACAGAGGAACGAGTTAAGGATGTTCCACAGCAATGAAGTGACATATCCCTCTACTTATTCCACTGACAATAAGATTACTGGAAAGTCAGTTCTTCTTACCCTAAGTAAGTTTATATAATATTTATTTTTATACCTTTTGAAAAGTTTTTATCACACTTTAACATTTTCTCCTTAATACCAATCTTAATGAAATTTGAAGTTTGTTATGTAGTAAAGTAAATATTTTTTATGGAATAGTAAGGAATGGTGCATTCGCTTGCATATATGCTGGTGATATTAAATTTCCCCTTTTAATGTTCAGAGATTATTTAAAATTTTGCTGTTATATTTCAATTTTCTGTTTACATAGATGAGTATTTAGAAGAGAGTAAAAAGACTGTAACTTCCCCTGATCTTAAACCAATATTGATGTGCGAGGAAGGTCTCATACAAATTGGCAGCGGCAGACATTTGTTTGTACTTAGTCTTGTTATTGGCTCTGTGGAAAATTTGGATTTGGTAAGATACATTTTACTTTTTTGCAATATGATTGAGGTTTTATGGTTGAGACTAACCATAAAACCTCAATCATTTTACGTTACATCCTTCATCTTTCTGTTTGTCACAGTATTAAAACCTTTCCCCATATCATTTAGGGTAGGTGTAATATGTTTTTCTCTTAAATTTTTCCCTTCTTCTCATATCATCTTTCAAACATGGATGGACATTCATATCTTTTTCTGTATTCCTCTGACCTCAGAACCATCCAAATTTATATGTAACACTTTCTTTAATACTCTTCATCACAGTATCATAACCATTGTATCTGAAGTCTTACCCTAGGATAGAGGTTTAAAAAATAATAGTAATTGATGAACATTTGCTGTATATTGTTTCCACAATAATATCAGAAATTAAATTAAATTTAAAATTTACTTTATTCAATGAGTTTGTTGACAACAGTGAGTTAGGACCCAAATGTCAACTGCAATAATGCAACAATATACAGTGTAGTAATATTATTATACATAGAGTATTATATACTAGCGACCCATCCCGGTTTCGCACGGATGCGTTACAAATCTTTGAATTTCTCAACTTATTCTATAGTATGCACGCACATACATATAAAGCCTCTTCTTAAGTCAGTGTGTCTATTGCAGGCGACTGTATTAAAATCTGTCAGTTAAAAGATCTAAGCGAACAGACAGCACAAGTGTCATAATTTTTTACTCTATAGAGGATATGAATAAATTATGGTTTATACTTTGATTTACTTGTTGTACTCTACTTTTTGTTTCAGCTTTTACCAAGCAATATGTCTCACAAAACTGCCAACTGCTACATCACATATTCTGTTTTCACACATAACATTATGACCGATAGGTATGTGAAACCATTGTTGGTAACCATTGACAGTATTGATAACTTCCTGAGGTTGCAGCACCAGAGAGATCATAGAACCGAGTGTATTCATCCTTTTTGAAGTCGGTTAAAAAATATAAATCCATAATTTAGTTCATTATAATCTTAGATATGTATTTGATAAAGCAATATTCCTGATAATAATATATGAATACTTTCTTACTTTGTTGTAATCTTACTTGTTATTAATATATAAACGCAAAAGTTTGTTAGTATGGATGGATGGATGTTTGTTACTTTACAGTAATAAAGCATATAGCTTATACATCAGAATAATACATAGGCTACAATTTCACGCGGGTGTAACCGCGGGTACAGCTAGTATCAATATATTTTTAGTCTTAATACCATTCTCTCAATTTCAAATTCAATCTCAAGCTGATAACATTACTATGACTATTAAATAAGTTATAGTGGCTGCCTCTTTCCCTGTATTGGCAGGCTGCGTCTGTTAATTGTTTTTTAATCTGGTATAACCAGTAACAAATATCTCCATGTGTGTGGCAGGGTTGGTGCAACGTTGGGTACCAGTGGTGCAAATGTCCAGTTCAACCAGCGATCATCATTGCGCCTGCGCGGTTCGCTGGTAGCGCTGAGCCAATATTTCGCTGAGTGTCCACACCTCGTTACACGGCTCTGTGCTGGAGATGATGACATAGGTGAGTCTAGGACTTAGGTACTTAGACCAACAAAAAAATAATAGGGAACACTACACACAATATTACCAAAGCTGAGAAATTATGCTCAGTCATAATGAATCGTATGCAAGATCTGTTTTTAAATATTTATTCAAAATATAGCTGTTATCCGCGACTTTATGCGCTTGTAAGCTTTTTTTGTAATTAGAATAGATATATAATTTTTCAAAAATCTAAGTAACTCCTTATATCATTAGCTATCTACGAGTAAAAGTCCTGTCCTAATTGTTTCGGCTGTTTCAGTGATTAGCAAGAACAAACACAATTTTTTTTAAACAATTTATTGTTTTTATTGCCGAATATCTTAATACTTACATTCTTACGAACATGAGAGAGAGACACATAATTTTGTTTGTATGACCATTACAAAATATAGGGTGATACTGATTTCATTGTATTCTTCAGTCAAAACAATTTAACCCACGCGTGCTTTCAAACAGTTGTAGACTTTTTAATTAATAGCAATAGTATGTACGTGCTATGAGTCAGACAGCTTTGGACTGTCTATGTGTACAACCTTTACAAATATGAACTTAAAATAATGTTATGTTTAGGTATTTGCAGTATGGACCTTCGTAAACTGGTTCCCACAGAGAATACTGATGACTTTCTATCTAAGTTCTGTAACGAGCAGCGAGCCCTGACTATACATGAACGGTGCTTCATATTGCGCTGTGACGGAGTCATCAGAGAGGAAGGTAGACGTCCGTATGTGGATGTGGAAATGAGTTTGAAGTATCTAGGACTGCAGGATAAAGAGGTGAATGTTTGAATTTGGAAATTTAAATTTTATGTAACTGCCGGTAATCAAAATTGATGCCTGAAAAATGATATTTGTTGCCTATATACAAGATTAACAGTAAGGACATCACAGCGTCACTTGTTGCCTGTGCCCTCATGATATAATTGCCATTCCGGAGGACTACTACTACTACTAAAAATGTGAAACTGCTGATTCTTCTACTTTTACTGCATATATATATATATATATATATATACATATATATATATATATATATGTTATATATATATGTTGTGCATTGCTTTTGGGAATTCTGGTTGTTCCGATGCCATACTAAAGTTTTTAAAATGGTGTTGACTGTTATTTATGAAATAATATTATATTAGTAATACTTGAGAGATTGAAATTTACCGTTATAGATATAAAGCCATGTTTAGAGTAATGCTTAATTGTCTCTGGTATTGCTGGCATAACCAAAATAAATTATCTAAACTGTTACTTTCATGTTCTATCTCTAATTCTATCATTGACTGAAATGTTTTAGAAACCGAAAAATCTCACAGCTCGCAGTGCCACTCAGTTGAAAAGCACTGCACAGCGCGACCCTATGCCTCCTGACGCTACCATAGACTACAAGAGTGGTAGTTGTACTGATTTTGATCAAAATGTTGGAGGTGTGGCTTATACTAACATAGCTGCCAGTAATACTGCAAGGTGATTAAAATAGACATGTGAAGTTTCTGTTCAAGATATGATTACATAATGTATCTCATTCTTTGTAATGGACATTACGTAAATTATGGGCGTAGCCACGGTGGGGAGGGTGGGGCACAGGGCCGACCCTGGCTCTGCCCTATTCCTAACCAAACCTACAAAAAAAGTTACTTAAATACTAACTACGTTACTTAATATCCGTAAAAAACTTCTTACTCGACAGCCGACAACTACATACAGATACAGGCTGTTACCGTTTTATAAAAAAATATAATCAGGATAAGACCGCGGGCATAGTTTGCTAGTTACAAAATATTTTAGTACTACTATCTACTACCCTATCCTGAGTCCAAGACTACGCCCATGACCTAAATAATCGAATAGCACTTATTTTATAGGTATAAAGACGCGACAGGCGACTCAATTTTAAAGTCAAATGAACTCGCTGAACTAATAAAGAAAATGTGCGACTCTTTCGCACAAAGCCAGGAACGAATCCTGGCGTTCCGCTCTAGACCACTTACCAGCGATATGCAAGTACAATGCGAGTCAGTACAGCAGCATGAGGTCACTGATGTGAACCAAGCGGTTACACTTGAGGACAATACAAAGAAAGTGGAGTATAATACTGTAGAAAATAATGTTAAAAAACCATGTGAATACATTAAGCTGGAGACATGCAAGAGTGATACATGTATATCACAAAATGAGAAAGGTAATTTTGAGTGCAGATTAGAAATAAAGACGAAATAGATATTTTTTTTGGGATAGATAAGGTAAAAAGGACTTAAGCAATTTTATTTAATTGATTATTCCAGACATCTGCATTATCATAGTAGTTGAATAGATCTTTTTTTTTTATTTTTGTACTCTACTGTAATTGCACCCTTATGAAGTAAGGTAGGTTGGTACTTATCAATAATTGTATCACTTATAACATATAAACATATTTAAACTTATTAATAATTGCATCAATTATATCTTATGAACTTATTTCAACTGCATATAGTAAAATTGCTGGTCTCCTCGACTGACCGTGACGCCATCATGCAGAGATTTGTCGATGAACTAGAGGATTGGAAAGAGAAGCAACAGGAATTATATAAGTGTCAAGTAAGTATGTATACATTCAATATAATTGTAATAATGTTTATATTTTTTTTTTTTAATAATAAGAATAAGTTTATTGTGCAAAAAAAAAAACAGTTACAAAAATGGACTTAGCTAAGGTTCTATATCTACTATATACACATATAACTTCACTTTTCATACTAATTTAAAATTTTTATGTAAACAAATCGATTGTATATTAAAAAGTATATATAAAAAAAAAAAAAAGAAGAAACAGATACAATATTTAAGTCTCAATATAACATTATGTCACTGCTGTCCTTACTAGGTCATTATAATGACCTGTATGAAGGACATCCAGTTACATTCCCTACGTGAAAGTTAGATTCCCTAGATATTAAAGACTAATGCTAATAATAATACTGCTGTTGTAGGATGCTAATGTGGTACATGTTCGTGAGAATACTTGTGTGTATGTGTTTGTGTGTGTGTGTGTGTGTGTGTGTGTGTGTGTGTGTGTGTGTGTGTGTGTGTGTGTGTGCGCGAGATAGACCATGAATGTCAATCTTTGAATTTATTCTGTTGTATAAAGTGGGAGCTAAATAATATAAGAATCTATAAGTGAAGGTCAGTTTAGGTGAGGGTATAGGACAGATGTTGTCTTTACGTCGTTTGTTGGTGCTAGTATAAGGGGATTTACGATGCTGATAGAGGGTCGTGTTTAGTACATATAATTGCCTAACAGTCAGAACATTCCAATCAAGATATAATTGAGACGTTGGGTATAGTATGTTTTTGAATGATGCAACTTATAAAACTGCTCGTTGAGCTACTTCAAGTGGTTTGATGATAGACTTTGCAGCTCCGCCCCAGCATGTAATACCATATGAAATCAAGGATTGTGTTAGCGTGTAGTAAACTGTGCGTAAAACATGTTGGTTGGTTATATGTCTAAGTGATTTAAATATATAAATTAATTTTCTAATCCTAGCAGTTAATGAGTTGATTTGAGCCTTAAAGTTTAGTAAGTTATCCAATATGACACCCATAATGTTTATATTGCCTTGATAGTGTCATTATTTATTTCCAAAAAATTTATATAAAGGCAATATTTAGCATACAGCCATAATACTTATAATACCTCGAATTACTATATGGGAAGTAGATATTTATGTTCTGTTTATAATATAAATTCTGCTTATTATATGTATTTTTAATTAGACGAAGTCATCTGATGTTTACTGTGTTGTCAGTATTTGATGAAATAAAAATAGTGTTGTGACAAAGTGAATAACTAAAAAAAACTCCTGAATTAATGGAATTGCCTCGATTGTCTAGTCTAGTGAATAGTTAGTGTGCCGAACTGCCGATATCGGGTACGGGTTTCGAATTTTAGCTGTGCTTTATACATACCAACGAGTTTTCGACGACTATGTTCCTATAGTATCTACGTATACTGAATACCGAGTATTTTAAACATAAAGAAAAAAATTGCGAAGAAACTTATAAGACTGTCCTATTTACAATACATCATGTAGTTGAAACTGTAGATGTATATAATATAAAATATATAACATAATATAGTTAGGTAATGAAAATAAAAAACAAACTTTGTTTTTATTCATCATCTAAATCTAAAGGCAAGGCTAAATCATGATATGTGGTACAACTGGTACATGTAATGTTTTTTTTATATTACCTCCTAAATTACAGTTAAAACGAAAGGAGGAATACCATCTTGAGCTACTGGCAAAGGAGTGGGCGAAGAAACGCGTAGAGTTAGAGTCCAAGCTGACGCGTGGGATTGAACAGTGCCGTACACTCGCTGCTGACCTTGCGCAGGCCTCTGACGACTTTCGCCTGCGGGGGTACCGCAATGTCGACAGGGAGAAAAAGGTAGTACTATATTATTATATCCTTATGAGGAAGGGCAATTATTAGTAATGGTGACAAATAGCCCCATTGCTAAAAGTGTACTTCTAATTAAGTCAAACTGCACGAGATCATCATATAAACTATTTATACTACTGAATCATTTGAATTCATCCTTCACTGGATCCAACCTAGAGTATATTATTATATAGATAGATATTTAGAATAGAATAACAACAAATTCTTTCTCGTTCTAATTGTGCTGAGACAGTTTAATGAATGCGCGGTAGATTAATATAAAATAACTATAACTATTCAAAAGTGCTTCAATTAAGTATATTAGAATAATGGATTTTCTATTCTAATCTTATTTTTTAGTTATTGGAAGCCAAAAAAGCGCTAGAAGCACATTATACAGCTAAATATCAAGAGTTGCGGGAGGCGTCTCAGAAGATGGAAGATGATATGAACCACCAGTTGAAACTGAAAGATATGACGATTGAAGAGTTGGAGATGAAGGTGCAGCAGTTGGAGAAACAGTTGGAAGTGGTAAAGGTGGGAAGTTATTTATTAAGCTTTTATTACCACAGAAGTGGTATGTATTTAATTTAGTATGGGAACATAATTCACATACTATTATAAGATAATATTTTAAGGAAGATGTTACATATGAATGTGGATGGTTATAAGGGCAGTGGAAGACCGAAGAAGATATGGATGAACTGTGTGAAAGATGATATGGCAAGAAAGGGAAAATCACGAGATGACTGCAGATAGGGATGAATGGATGAGAAAACATATTACGCCGACCCCAAATAAATGGAATAAGGAAGAGGCAGGTGATGAATATAATTCACATACTAAGAATAAATGGCAGTCTCTTCCAGACAGCTATGGGTAGATGAGAGAACATAAGCATGAATAGAATTTATAACTTTCTTATTCTGTTCTTAGATTTATAAGTATTTAGGAACAGAATAAGAAAGGCTTCACTAAGGAAACAGTTTCTTAATAAGATTTATAAATGACAATACATAGGAATATACTATGATTAGTGCATTTAATTGTTATTACTCAACTTCTCGTGCCAATTGAAGCTCATTGGAACATTATTCATATACATGCAATCTGACATATACGACTGTATATCCAGTAGCCTAACTTGGCTTGATAAATTATATCAAGATAGATTACTATGATATTCGGTTTTTATAAAACTTCACGAGGTAGACAGAAAAGCCAAGGTTTATGTGATTTATTTATTATTGTTTATTAAATACACACACCTATAATATGTATGCGCGTATTACACGTAGTTCTGATTACTCTTGAATATAAGTTTTTGTTACAGGCTAATTTGAAGAATTGTGAAAAGGATGCTGAGAGCAGATATTCAGGGCTGACGAAGGATCAAACTGCTAGTCTTATTCAAGAACTGGTAAGGTATTTTAAAATATTCAAACATTTCAGATAATGAAATATATATAAAGTTGGAGTGTATAAGTGTAACTTTTAAAATATATTTTGATAATCTGCCAATGCCGAATTAGGCTAGTAGTAAGAGTAGCAAATACTTACGGGCTCCGCATATTAATTTCTGAAATCTAATACCCCGACATCAAAGAAATAATAACAATAAAGTTATTAGTTTTATTTTAGTCTAAACCAAGTGAGAGAATTGTCGTTTGATTTTTTTTAAGGTAAATATGAGTAAATTCCTAAACCAGACTATGGACCTCCTAAAAGAATTAGCTATAGGCCCCGCAGCGGCCCAATCCAGCACTGATATCCGCTACTGAAAACAAATACATAAATTTGCCAACTAATATATATCTACGGTCTATTTCAGCGTTGTTTAGAAGAAAAGTTAGACAGCGCGGTGCAGTCAAAAGCTTTCTTTAAAGAGCAGTGGGGTCGCGCCGTTCGTGAACTGCATCTAAACAAACTGCAGTCTCGCAAACAAGTGCTCACTCAACTGCAGTCACATCGCAGAGAGCTCAGCGACATGGGGTCAGGTTCTATCTCACTTTATGTAAAGACAAAGCCAAATATTTATGAAACCGAATAAATATTCCTAAGAAGTTAAGTGATATATATACAGTGATGAATTTGTAGTATACATATGTAATCTTGAACAATGCGCATTTGTACAATGCTATAACGATTTAACTTTTTTTTATATCATTTTACAGATTGGACACAATTCAAGATCAAGACGAAATGAAAACGAATCATATTGTTGACATAAAGAAATTAAAAGATGATTTCTTAGTAGATATATTAGCCAATACTCCAGCATTAGAATCTCATTCTATTATTAGTAAGTTATTTAATTATACACCACCCTGGTATCGGCTGAATATTCATAACTTGGTGTCTTATCTATTTATAATCACTTAGGGGTATGAAAAATAGATACTGGTCGATTCTCAGACCTACTGAATATGCATATAAAATTTCATAAAAGTGGGTCAATCCGATTCGGAGGAGTATGATAACTAACAATGTGACACGATAATTTTATATCTAATATATATATGAGGCATTTTAAAATGCGTTCGCTGGGATTGTAAACTTTAGGCCTGTATTTGATCTACAATTTTATTATTGATTTCAGGTGACTCAATCCCTGACGGTATGGATATGTTTGAAGGTATTAAGTAAGTAATATAAGAACATTATATTAGTATATTATAAAAACAAAATATGTTAAACTTCTGTAAGCATTGAAGTATCATAGTATATATTTTGTGATCATTCTGTTCAGGTCTGTAAGGTACTAATGTGGGTTGTTAATTATTCCAGTTGAATATTTTTTGCGTATTATTTCCTTCTGTATTTGTGTGTTACATCAGACTTTATATACATTTATTAATTTCAGAAACATCCCCAAGAATCCAGTTAATGACAAGTTAAATGATCTAATAGCTCAAAGGGATCGCCTTATTCAGCAAGACAACCCAGATGAAGATCGTCTAAAGCAACTCAACCATGAAATACGAAACATGCTGCTGAATTGTGGCACCTGACTGAATATATACTAATTCTGGTTGTAAAACGTAAAAGCAATAGTAAAAGCAAGAAGTTTTGGTTTAATTAAATAGACTATGCAGTTTTATAGATCAATATTAACATTCTGTCTTTTCACCATTGTCTCCTATCACAATTGGATTAGTCAATAGAAAGAGTTGAACATTGTTGATCTCACTATGTCTTCTATTTAATCCCGCTATACTTGTATAATAATTGTAGTTACTTTATAATGTCGGCGAATTAATGTCTAACAAGAATGAAGAAATAAGCGGCGTTCATTACAGAGGTCCAGCTGATAAATTATGAAATGAATTGTTGAATCCTAACATTTGGTACACAAACTAATTTCATGTATTTTGTATTTACACGTATTATAACATTCCTATAGTCCATTTTTGTCAAATTTCGAAATAAAACAGGTTTTTTTTTAAGTTTGGAGTGACCAGAGGAAAACAGTCCTCATTTACAGTATTATTGTTGGAATGTGTTTTACTTTTGAAGGTGTATTCATCAATTACTATTATTAATATTGTTAGTTATAATTATTGTTTTACAAAAAATATTATTTGTTCTCCTATAACACGAAATGTTATGAATAAATGAATTATTTAAATACAAAATATTTATATATGTATATTATTTACTGTAATTGATTATAATAAGGGTAAATAAGGCGATATGACATCCGATGGGGATTAGCGATAAAAGACTGTGGATCCCGAATAATTATTGTGATTCTCTGTATTTCACTGCTATAAAAAGCTATTGTTTATTTATTTATTTATTTATTTTTATTTATTTAAATAACTTTAATGCACGTCATACATAGGTAAAAAGTACATATGGCGGACTTAACACCTAATGGCATTTTCTACCAGCCAACCATGAGTTGTGCAGAGATAAGTTGTTGGCGGTGCAAACAATAATATATTATTTTATAGAATATACATGAATAAATATATATATATACACATGTAACTACATAAATATTCCTACAAATATACACAAAAATACATATACATATACAAAAATATACCATACACATAAATATGTGACCAATAATCTGACAATGAAATAGTGATTACAGCCGACAGTGTAAGCATATTACAATAGATACAATATGATTCGCCTTGTAGTAAAAATGAAGAAACTTAATGCTAAAGAGAAAAATATATAAAAGATAATAAATAATAGTATACAAAATTATATGTTAAGATAATGTTTCCGCAATCTTCGCTTGAAAGAAATTTTACTCGTGGCAGTCCTGATGTCAAGGGGTAAGTCGTTCCAAAGTTTGATAGCCTGAACGGCGAAAGAATGATGGACAAAACCGGACAAATGTGCCGGGACATGAAGTAAAAATCTTCTAGTTGTGCGAAGGGAGCGATTGGTGTTGTCCCCATGGAAGTGAAATTTACTACTAATATATTCAGGAAAATTAGGATCGTATAGAATAGAATAGAGGGTACATAGCATACGTACATTTCTGCGACAGCGGAGAGGAAGCCATTTAAGCTGAGAACGGAAAGAGGAAATATGATCAAACTTGCGCAAATTGAAAATAAAGCGAATGGAATTGTTGAGAAGACGATCCAATTTGTTTAAAAGGTCTACGTTCATGTCAGAACAGCACACATCAGCATAATCCAGCGTGGGGAGCACTAAAGATTGGACGAGGAGAATTTTTGTACTCAAAGGGAGGAAATTTTTCAACCTATATAAGTTCCGTAAAGTGAGTGTAATTTTACGGCTGACCTCATTAATATGCTTATTCCAACTGAGTGTACTGTCTATTAATAAGCCGAGATTTTTAACACAGGAACTGTACGCGATATGTTGTTTATTGAAAAGAACTGGAGGTAGAGTGTCGAAATTAATTTTACTGAGTTGCTGATTACTCCCGAGAACTATTGCTTGACATTTGGAGGGATTGACAGATACACCAAATTTATTGGACCAATTGAATATATGATCAAGATCGCTATTCAATTGGTCAATAGCTTCATTGACCTCAGATACAACAGCTTGAGAGTAAATTTGGAGATCGTCCGCATACAAATGGTAAGAGCATTTGAGATTTTTTGTGGTAAAATCGATAAAGATAGAGAAAAGTAATGGAGACAAAATACCGCCTTGAGGAACCCCAGCAACAAGATCGCACCAATCCGATAATGTCTGATTGGCACGAACTGCCTGCTGACGTCCACGAAGATAAGAGCCAAACCATTTAACAACTGATGATGAAATCCCAAGATGTGAAAGGATAGCTAGTAAAACATCATGGTCCACGGTGTTGAACGCGTTGGAGAAATCGATTAGAACTAGAACGGTTAATTTTGATTGTTCCATGCCTTCCCTCACGTCCTCGGTAATTTTCAGCAGAGCAGTAGTAGTACTGTGTCCCGGACGAAAGCCAGATTGGTAGGGGCTAACCAGTTTATTATTAAAGACAAAGTCTGATAACTGACGATGTACTACAGCTTCAAGTATTTTGGAGAGGAAAGGCAGGATTGAAATGGGTCGAAAGTCCTTAAGATTCTGTGGGGATGACACTTTTGGAAGTGAAATAACAAAAGCGTTGCGCCATGCTTCAGGGAATTCAGAGGAAAAAAGAGAAAAATTGATGATGTGAGTAATGATTGGAAGCAAATGTTCAAGTAGGAGAATAACCATAATCCTACCCACATCATCATTACCAATACTATTAGTTTTAATGGAGGATATTATCTTGTAGACTTCATCATCAGTAACTGGTGAAAATAAAAATTCTACGGATAGTCTAGGCCAGGATGTTATCTCAGCTAATGTAGTAGATTTCTGAGAATTATTCAGAGCAGGAACAGTCGAAAAGTGTCAGTTTAGTTCATTTACTGAAAAGTGAGAGGAGAAATCATTGGGCTGATTGCACAGCCCAAGTGATTTGAGAAACTTCCAGATATTGGCCGAAGAAGAATTTTGAATATTCGAGTGGATGTAACGGCGTTTAGCAGCTCTTACCATATAGTTGCAGCGGTTGCGCGCAATTTTGAAGTACCTCCAGTTCTCTTCGCAGCGATCCCTTTTGAATATTCTAAAAGCACGATCACGTTTTCTCATGCCAATACGAACTACCTCCGTTATCCAAGGAGCTGGCTGTCTCTTAACCCTGACAAAGTGGGCAGGAGCATGTTTGTTCATGATTTTAAGAACTGAATGATTAAACGCAGCTACCTTGTCGTTAATACAGGAGGCAGACAATACGCATGACCAATCAACGGCTGTCACTTCCTGGCTTAATACTGTTAAATCTACTCTAGAGAAATTACGTAGACGAATTACGGCCGGTTTAGGCTTAAAAGTTTTAATATTGTATTCCTATGTAACATATATGAGATCATGTCTGGAGAAACCCGGTGCAGGAAATTGGCCATGTTTGAGTACGGATTCAGGAGATGAGACAAAAACGTGATCGAGCCAGGTGTCAGGGGAATCTGTATTAGTGTGAGTAGGACCAAGGGGTAACACCGAAAGGCTTGCCGACTCCACTATAGTGCGTAGTTTGAGAGATCTGTGAGTGTCTCGGAGCAAATCAGTGTTAAAATCCCCCATAATGATGTGATGTGTGTGTTCCGCCATAATGATTTCGAAAACAGATTCAATGTCATGGAAGTAATCAGTGGAAGGGGGACAGTAAACAACACCAAGAACGAACTTAATTCCCCTAACATCAATCGCCACGAATAAATATTCAGCACTACCAGGGAGTGATGAGTTAGCCAAGGTTTTGAAAGCAAGGTATTGTTCTTAATTTACTTGGAATAAATCTAAAATATGTCTGATAGACAGCAAATAGTTATTTTTCATTTTACTAGAGGTATGGTGTTACAGGTTTTCTAATGCAATTTGAGATTTAAGAATATTAAATATTACAAGTCTGTAATGAATCTCTCAGTACTATTTTTCTACACGTACATACAGATAATTAAATAGTAATAAAATAAATTCATTTTCATACAATCGCGGGTTGTTTTTTTGATAGACATGGTTTATATGGTGTATTACAATATCAAATCTCATACTATCTCCAATAATAATAAGAGAACATAGGTATCACAACTACAGAATAGAAAGTATTCATATAATTAGATTATTCTTATGCTTATATAGCATGTCTTATGTAGACGATTAGCATTTATTGAATTTTTTAATATTTAGTCCCAGATTAAACATATTCGATAATGTAATAATCAGTTTTGACTGACGTCTTTGACTTCGACGTGTATTTGATTGACATGCACTACCTATTATTTATTATTTTCTGTCTAATATACTTGGCAATTACTTATCAATTTTCTGGTGTATACTGAATCTAAAATCGAACTGTCGTCTTGGAAAACTAAATGTCGTGTTTTTGTCTTAAACATTACTATCTTTAATATATTTCAGACCATATTGTGTCGTAACCTTTTTCATGTTGTATGTATAGTGCATGGTGAACAATGGCTAAAACCAAAGTCACAGGAGCGACTAGTAGATTGAAGCAGGATTACCTCAGACTGAAAAATGATCCTGTTCCATACGTGACCGCAGAGCCTGTGCCCTCGAATATCCTTGAATGGCATTACGTTGTCAAAGGTCCAGAGAAAAGTCCTTACGAAGGAGGTTATTACCATGGAAAAATTATGTTTCCGAGGGAATTCCCTTTCAAGCCGCCGTCTATTTACATGATTACGCCAAACGGAAGATTCAAAACAAACACAAGACTGTGCTTAAGCATAACCGATTTTCATCCTGACACATGGAATCCAGCCTGGTCCATTTCCACTATATTGACGGGTTTATTGAGCTTTATGCTGGAAAAGACACCAACATTGGGCTCTATAGAGACTTCAGATTACCAAAAACGATGTCTGGCAGCTGAATCACTGGAGATTAATTTGAAGAATAAGATGTTTTGCGAGCTATTTCCAGAGTATGTGGAAGAGATAGATCACCTGTTGAAACAGAGACAAGAGGCTATGCTCCAATCTGATAACACCAATATGACAAGTGGCGAAAGTGATGTGACTACAGAACAACAATCCAGCATGTATTATATTATAACTAATTTGTTTGTGTTAGTTGGCTTTGTTTTTTTGGCATATATGGTCAAATATGTTTTAGTTTCGATATCTAATGATTAGTGGTACCTTATTTGTAAATGTACATATTGTAATTTATTTTGTAAATATATATTCCATTAGAAGCAAATAATTTTAATTTGTTGTGGTAAATGGTTGCAACTCAGTACCAACAAGATGGTAATTCCTTTACATTTCTTAAAATATTTACAATAAATGAATACAGTGCTATATAATATTTATATTGTGTTTTTTTACTTATTTGATACACATTCTCAGTTTGAAATTGTAACTAAAGCAATATTAGATGTGCATATGCAATAAATATGTGTGGTATAGTATATAAACTTTCTATTGTATATACTTTTACTTTCACAGCTATTTACTTTAGTTTGTAAACACTGAGGCTGGCAATCTCTGCTGCTTTATGTAAGTAGTGGTGTATAGCTTGTGATTGTTATAGATATCACCTGTAATTGCAAATGTTAATAAAAAGATTTTCAATGAACTGTAATTGTGTATGTATACTGTGACACAATTTGGCTGTTCAATATTGTTCTGAGATGCAACGTTACCAAAATTTAAACACAAATTGCACATAGTGTGGGATAGTCGATCTTGTTTCCTATACCTTATCTCTCATGAAATTGCAGATATAGTACTTGCATAAATACAAGTTCATTATTGAATAAATCTATATATTGTATGAAAGCCATTGTATTTTTTATAGTAATAGCATAGCTATAATGATGATAAGTAAGTAGTTATATCTATTTAGATATTTTAAAACAAGCTAATGCTTAAACTGTAAGTTGACATGTTATGTGCAGTATTTATCTGTCAGTTTTTATTATATCTGAACAAACAAAATAAAAAAAAAACTAAATTATAAGGTACAGTGGCTGCACCTATTGAAAATAGTATAAGGTATAAAAATCCACATAAAATTATAAACATAATCAATACTACTTACTTCATGCATTGCTAATACTGAGGATTAGTTGTTATACTAGTAAGAATTATATTGGCTAACTAAATTTCAATAACTGGGGATTATATTCATGCACAAATAAAATTATATAATAATGCTGTAAGAAATAAAATAAATAATATAGAAATAAGTAATGTTAAAGCACACATTAATGATTAAAATAATTTTTGCATCACAGCAGTAGGCATGTTGCTTTGTCTAAGTAAGAATTAGCTTTGAAAAATATTAATCTTATTAAAATCCAAAGTATTTATATTCTGTATTATAATTATTGCATTTATACTATCATTAATAAAATACTTTATCTCTTGTTATATTTATAACACCTATGTAATGAATTATAATTTACTATGATTATAGTCATCTTCGCAACTTACTGCAATTTTCAAAGTATCATTTTCATATAATATGATAATAAAGTTGTGTCTTTATTACATTAACTGATCCATCTTTTTTCTTAGGACTGCAGGTATATATTAACAAAATGTTTTAGTTATGAATATTCTGCACATACTAATGTAAGAAATACCAAAAGGATTTCTGTTTATTTGATATTTAATAAGTAAGGTCAATGACAGTCTGAATGCGTGACTTAGAAATACCAACAATATTTTAGTCATTGAGATATTTTGTACTAATGTATAGAGAAGATGCCGAGGGCGCTAGCAGTATTGGTTCTGCTGTTATGAATTCAGTATTTTTTTTCATGGGGAGAATGAGGTGGTTATTAGGACAGAAATGTCAAGTGGTGTCTTCTCTAGTATGTATGTTAGCTATAATTTAATATCAGATTGTGTTGGATTGTATTCTTTTATATTTATTATCACTTGCCACACAAAACATTGCGTGAATATTAGATTTATTACGTGTTACACACACTGTACTTTACCTATATATATAAAGGAAATTGTTTAAAATGCAGTAAAGTGTATTTTTATATTGATGTTTCATGTTTTATTAAAAATCTCATCATATACTTTATCATTTATTTTAATTTTTCAAGCAAGCCTAATAATATGCTAATTTACAAATAATATTGGTTTGTAAACACATCTACTCATAAACTCTTATAGGTAGCATATATAGATACAACACAGGAAATTTAGATTTCACAGGTCACTTACCTTTATATTATACTATTATATTATATTAATACTAAACATATTTTGCTATCCACAGATAATTTAACAATATAGTTAATTATCAAAATTACAGTAATTACAGTAAAGTACCTGCAATTTTAAATACAATTCTATTGATCCCGTTAGAGACCTGGTGTAAAGATATAACTCTTTAATTTTACCAGTAAAACTTTCATACCACACAGTGATACATATACATTTCTTATTATTGCGCATATAAAATATCATTATAAAATAATCCCTTACAAATAATATAAGTATAAAATATTAATGTGACATATTAAATGTTATTACTTACATATTTCCAATACATTATGTAAAACATGCATTTTAATAGAATCAGTAACAAAATATGCAGTATTAAATCTACTTACTATAGTCCTATTTTGCAAGTTTCTATAGTGTACATAGTAATTCAATATAACAATTAATTATGTGCATAATTATATTAATATTATTCCCTAATCCCTTATTTTCTATCAGATATAACCTACTTCCTTCGTTTCCATTATTTGCTATAACATTAACTCATTAATGAATGAATTACATTACAACTATACTATTTTCATTAATAAGGCATTTCAATTAAGACCTTACTTTTCCATAGGTTTTGTAAAAAATGTAATGTATCTAATTAATCGATTTAAAAGATTTACTACATGAATTAAATAGTGATTATTTATGCCTTATTCTCTTCCTCATCATCATCCCAATCACTAACCAATTTTGTGATGTTATTATCTTTACTTGAATTGGGCTTTATAATAGCAGCATCACTGATAACACCTGGAACATTTTCAGTAGTAGTAGTATTATTTTCTAATGAAACTACTTGATCATTATTTTCTTGTTCACATTCAATTCCTTGTTCACTTTCGATTTCCTGTTCAAGTTCATTTCCATGTTCACATTCATTTTCCTCTTCACATTCATTAGCATTTGAAGAGTTATTTTCTTCTTGGGAGTCATTATCATCCCAATCATTTAAAAGCGACGTCAGTTTTTCCTGACCTCCTTCAGTGTTATTGACTATATTTGATGGCAGCTGTACATCAGTGTCTAGATGTATTATATTATCATGTGATGAAGTGTTTGCAATATCTATAGTTTCATGTGACGTTTTCACCATTTCTGTCACATCTGTTTCAGAATCACCAGCTAGCTGTTTTGCCATTTCCTGCTGAATATTTTCAATAGATTCTTCTATTTCAGGTGGGTTTCCTTCAGCAACAGCAGTTGTATTATCTATCACTGAGTCGGTATTCTCATTAACTTCACTTGAATCTTGTGTTGTAGCCTCATATTCATCCTCGGACCACTCTGATGCTAAATTTTGGACTTGTACTTTTGCCGTATTGGGTGTTATATGATTGATCTGATTTAAAGGTATTGTTTCTGCAATGTTAGGAGGTTCACTTGGATTTTCCATGTCCTGCACAATACCATCTGTGCACAAATTATTTTCAACGGTCTGTTCATCTAGCGCTTTCGTTTCATTTATAATGTCGGGATAATTATGCGCACTTATGGTTTGCTGTACAACAGAGGGAACAGTAGTTTCTGACAATATCTGGATACTATTTTCCATTATACTGTCGTTTTGTGAATCAACTGTTGCCTTTGATGGAGTGTCGATTGCTGAAGCTGTAGTTATTTCTTTTTCAGACATTGTTTCACAGGGGGTATTTTCCGAAGAAGTTGACATCGGATTTTGTACATCTTTGATGACCAGCTCTTGTATTTCTTCTGTATTATCTTTTTCGACTATATTTTGAATATCAATCACGTTGGGATGATTTAAAGCATTATGCATTTCACTCAATTCAGCAGGAATTTCCTTTGACACTGGTATTAGCTGTACTTCGGGGAGCTCTATTAATGTAGTTTCTGTTTCATTATTTGTTGCTTCTGGTGTAGTTTGAGGAATAGTTTGTATTGGTGTTTCTTGAGTTACATTAATTTGTTTATTCTGTAAGTTTTGTGCAGTATTATTCTGCCAAGACTCTTCTACTTGAGCATCTATAATATGTGCGCTCATAACTGGAGTAGATGTAGTAACTGTTTCATAATTTTGTGTTATCATTGCTGATGACTGAACATATTGTGCTCCAATGTCTTGTGAGGATATTATTTGATACTGTTTATCAGAATCATCAACATGTCCCATTTGGTGGCTGTAAACAACAACAATATTTGAGTTATCTGTTACTACAGCTTCTGAGACATTTAGTGGATATTCATCTTGAATAATCATCATATCATTTGATTGAGTGTTGTCCAAGTCTATAGTTGTAGTATCCAACGACGTACTATGTGGTGCAGCTAATACTGTTAATGTTTTATTTGTGTTACCATTGTCAAATATAATAGAGTGATTGGAAGACATAAGAGTTTTGTATTCTTCTTCATTTGAGACAACAATTTGTATTGGCTGACCAATGTTGGATTTTTTTAGTATCATTTTAGATGCCTCACCATCTGTGTTCATAATTTCTGGTATAACATATTCATTTTCTGGTATTTTCGTTTTTCTGGGTATTAGTTGATTATCTCTCATAATGTAGTCAATATTATCTATTACAACTACATTTTCTTCATTTAAAATATTTTGTGGAGATGGATCGCTATCCTGACTGTATTCGTGATGGATGGAAAGATGTCGATTAACTTTTGGCTTTTGTCCTTGTTGAACCTTGAGAGCAGGTGTACTAAAGCCTGCATTCAAAATTTTCTGCTTTTGAATTTGTACTGGTTGTACTCTTGATTTTTTAGGTACTACATGTATATTTCCATCTGGTCTTTGTTGAATTTGAAATTGGACATCTATATCTTCAGATTCATTATCATAAGATTCTGATTTAACAAAACCATGATTTACTTTTGGTTTTTCCTCCATGTGCTTATCATCATCAGAATCATCTATGACGCCATCTCTCTTTGCGGCTTGCTTATGACAGGTTCTTAGGTGACTATATAAATTACTATCTCTTAAGAATATTTTATGACAGTAAATGCACTGCAGGCCAGATTTTTTATCTGCATTTTGTCTATGACCCGTTTTTTGAAAGTGTGTCATCAACTGATTGCTTGTATTGAAAAATGTGCTGCAAGCATTGCATTTGAAATTTCTTTGGTCTGAATGAGTCAATCTATGTTTTACAAGAAAACCTTCATTTATGGCAACATAATTGCATATATTACATTTAGGGAACTTGAATTGTGGTGGTGGTTCAATATCATGTTTAGTATACATATGGTACAACATGTAATTTCTTTTGTATGATTTAAAACCACAGTATTCACATATTGTTGACATAGGTTTTTCATTGTGTATATTGACCAAATGTCTACGGAATTTATAATATGAAGGGAAATGTAAGGCCCTACCAGGTGTTCCACATATGAGACATATCCATGGGCCTTTAACATTTTCAGCTCCCATAGCAATTAATTTTGCAGCTTCTTTAAAATCTAGGACATCTGTCTCATATGTAAAATCTGCAGTATCCATTTTTGGTTTTACCTCCTTTTCTTCAATGGTAATTGGTTTAAGTTTCTTAGTTTTACTTGGTGTATTAAGGATCTTCAATTTAATGTTCTTGTTACTTTTCATTAAATGTGGATATTTTTTTAGTACCTCACTAATGATTTTAGCATGATCTATGTTATTTACTTGTTTATTATCCTTTGATTCTATGGTCACTTTTGGACCATCTCTATTGTCTAAAATCTGATCAAATAGTTGATTTTGGTCTTTACGTAATTCAACTTTTGAATAATTCGATGAAAATATATCATTGTCATCAATCTCATCTCCCAGGTTGTCATCTTCAAATATGTCAGTTTTGATGATTTTTTTGCATTCAACTATGTCCAATGTTGATGTTCTGTTACTGGCTCTTTTTGGATCCAGTGGATCACGGAATATACCACTTTTCTTTGCTGGATATCGCTTAGTAGTGTCAGGATGAACCATTAAAGGTTTGGATGTATATGATATACTTGCAAATGAGTTTTCAAAAATATTGTCTGTATCTAATTCTTCTGGCAATTCATATCGTGTAGGTCGAGAATTTACAAATATATGTTTTTTAGATGTTGCAGGTTCTTGTTGAGTTGTAGATGTAGGAAAACTCGAAATAGTAGTAGACTCTTGAGTGTCAGACTTACTGGGGAGAACTTTTTTCTTTTCTTTGTTTGTAGCACTATAGGAATTTTCAAAAGCTTTACCATAAGATCGCTTGTTTGAAGAGGACGAAGATGTTGGATGGGAAGGTTGAAATGTTTGTTTATTAAAATTATTAGATTTAGAGCTTCGTTTAGAAGCACTATAATTTTGGGTTGAAGTTTTTATTGGATGTACTCTGTGAGCTTCAAGTAGTTTAGACAGTACAGGCATATTCATAATCAATGATGTCTGATACAGTTTCTCTAATGTATCCATCTTGAATTCAAGCTGACCTGTATACATGAAGTTTACAATAGGGACCACAACATCAGCTTGTAAGTCATCTGGCATCACCAAACAATCCTCATACATTTCACATGTTCTTTCAAGGAGTTCAAAATACTCTGTACATGCATTTAAAACAAGTCTGTGCACTTTTAGTTGAGCATTATCTTGAAACTGAAGAATGAGATCGCAATAATCAGTTCGATTAAAAAAGTGCTTTAATCTCTGGAGGAAATAAATGCCCCAGTTGTCAACTTTCACTTGCTTTACGTCGGACATTGTGTATCTAAATCGAATACTTATATTATAGGTTATCACTGCCCCATTTCAAAACACTGAAACAAAACATACACTTTAACATTTTTTATTTATAATCAGGATAAAATAAACTTATATTCTATAAGTATTGATCGTTAGAATGAGTTTATTGTTTAAAGGTATCTCTGCGGGATAGCGGACTTGTTAGGCAATAATGTATGTTTTCCAAAGATATGTAAATTGAATTTTCCGCCACTTTATTACTATATATTCAGAAAACTTACCAATAAAAGTACAAACACTAGTTAGTATTTCAATTCTTGCCTTCGTCACAACACAAAATTACTGTGCACTGCACTGGCTGAATACGATTGAAGGAAGTTGACAATAAGAACGCAAGATGGCGGTGTTTGGTTGCTCTATTGAAGTATTGACACGGGCGACGAGGACGCCAAAGAGTAACGGGAAGGCGACGCTTTCTCGCGGGATCCGCTGCTTGGTGACTGAGTCAAATTGTAACTTATTTAATAATTAAATGAAATAAAATAAATCTAAGTACGTATCTTATTAAATAACGTTGATAGATGCATACACATACTGTAAATTACAAATTACGATTGTTTTTAGTAATTTCAGATAATTAGAGACATGTCTGATTGCGCACAATGCGCTAGTGCTGACATCTACTACAAGCAAATCAATGAAGAACTATTGATTATGTCCAAGTTGTTAAAAATAGGGTGGAGAACTCGAAGCGAAAATGACGCATCACGGTAAACGGTACTTTAATTTGTATTATAGGATATCTATTAAATGACAATAGAGGGCACTATGAGGAGATTTAGTATTTTGTTGCTATCGTTTTGTAGTTTAAAGAAGAAATTACCTTTATTAAAGTTATGGAAGTTAAATTAAATTGTGTACAATATTTATTATTTTTTTATATCTATTATTTTTTCATATACTAAAATTAAACCGCGGTTTCGTCCACACATGTCGGTTATTTTACGTTTCCATTGGAATATTGGATGGAAAATTGGATTTTGAAATTAGGTTTTAAAGTAAAAGCCTTACTGTGTATTTTCCTAAATTTGTAGTTTTTAAGATTATCCAGTAGATTACCTACCTATATTAGGCGTGGGACGTGGTCATGCTTGGTCGGCTTGTTGGATTTTCAAAAAGTATTTGTAATAACATGCAATGATGGCTGGCTTATTCATCATACTCGGAGTACTAGTAGAGTCAGGCAGGTTTAAGAGTATTATGATTAATTACTACATTACTTATCTAATATATAAAATTCTCGTGTCACAGTTTTCGTGTTTATACTCCTCCGAAACGGCTTGACAGATTTTGATGAAATTTTATATGTATATTCAATATCTGAAAATAAGTTTGTAACTAATTTTTATACCCATAAGTATTACGGATGGCTCACCCCAATTTTTTTTCATTTGCATATTTTTTTTTATTTGTTTAATGTGTGGTATTAAACCCTAAATTTCCGCCCTTCTACTAGAAATCCCTATTTTTTTAATAGTGATTTTAATTTATATGGCAAAACTACGTTTGCCGGGATAGCTATTATTATATAATTTAATTTCGTTCTTTGTTTATTGAATATTTTTTTACATGTAGATAAGTAAGTCTATTAATTATTTCGTGAATATTTAATTTTTAATATTACGTGACATGGATATAACGAATTGTATATTTTATAATCCGTTTGCATTTGTCTATACCTATACCTACATATATAGATGTCTTTCCTGCAGATATGTTGATGATTTTAACAACACAGAAATCAGAATCAGAATCAGAAACAACATTTGTCATATCTAATGTATACCCATAAATAATATACTATACTTGAAACTTGGTATACCTATTGAATTTTGAGTACCAGTACCAGTATGCTAACACAAAAGCTTATTTTAAATTCACGTACCTCAGAAATTGAACACAGAAGCACCAGATGGCACTTAAACAATATTTATAGAATTTTGAGTGTTCTTTGGAAGAACAATTTACGAGAATATCCTTCTATGGAAAAAACCAAGCTAATCTTGGCAGGCTACATAGGTACTATTATTTATTGAATAAAAGAAAATAAATTTATGAAATAAATTACATCGCATTATTTTCTATCACAAAAAATAGTGTCGAATTAAGAGTAACATTAATATAGCAATAAAGCATATTGATTGCAATAGAAAGGTACTGAAACTAAGGAGAAGTAAAAATAAGGCAAGGAAAGCTAAGGTAAAGTAAGATTACTTACATAAACTTACAGTCAAGTTTTAAACTGTACGTAAAAAAAATCGAAAGGTACTAAAACTAAGGTAAAGTAAAAACAAGGCCTTGCCTTGTTTTTACTAAGCTAAAGGTAAGGTAAGCTTACATACTATTTACGAAAAGTATCTGTTTTGTGTTTTACTTATCCAGTAGATAAAAAAAGTTCTGCCTGATGTTATAGAGGTGTTATTACGAGGCAATTCTGGTCATCTCAGATTGTCACTTGTAATTTTGTACTTAAAAGTATAAAATAATTCACGCTTTTTGGTGTTATACTATTTATTTTAACGAATTAGGTGTTAGGTACTTTGTGGAAGTCCATTTCATCACTCTAAGTTTATTATTTTGTTTAATTCCGCTGCGATTAGCATGTGCGGAATCCTGACCACTGGTTCGCGATAATCTTCCCTGTTAGTGATCAAATTCTCCTCTTTTTTGAATCTATAACTAAGTATATTGCGAGGTATCTTCAGAACGAATATGGTTTGGAAACTTTATATTCGGCATCGCAGTCTGGTTACTTACCAGTCAAAACTAAAATCATTAACTAATGTTATACTATTGTACTGTATTCAATACAATGCAACATGCTTTGTAAAATACAAAACAAAATAACCAGTAGTGTAAATCGGACTAGCAGATCGAAGGGTCCCGAACCTGTAATGTGTCAGGTTTTATACATATCTAATATATTGGATACCTGGATGGAATAACGATAACTTCGGTGTCCAGCTGTTTAGCATATCTACCGTTTTGCTTTCATGATCATGAGTTTGATTTCTTGCACGATGCAAACGTTTTTGTAGTATTGAACAGCAGAACAAAAATTTATGTATTTGTTTTGTTATGTTACCCATAACATAAGCTCTGCTTAGGTTGGCACTAGAAGACGTTGTGTGAGTTGTAAAAAAATATCTTTCAAATAATGATAGAATGTCTGAAATCGGTGCAGTGGTTCCGAAGTTTACTTTTCTCATAACAAAATCAGCTCTTTTTATATACCTAATTTGAATGGCAAACAAGCTACCGGCCCAACTGATGGTAAGTTGCCAATTTAGATAGGTATATAGGTAAAGTGAGGAATAGACACGCACAGGAATAAAATATAGGTAAGCAAAAAAAAGTCGCCATAAAGAAAGCGACAGATATCTACCTATTACTTACTACATAAAAAGAGGACTAACATGTCTCTCTCTATTAGTTGATATATGTATGTAGATGATAAAATATTTACATTACCTATGTCTTAACAATTAATTTATATTATTTAGTAACAACGGTATTTGATTTATTACAAGATTATTTGCTGTCTACTCATATCTGCTCTGATTCTTATTAGAATTTTCACGTTTTAGACCAAACTCTATTATTGGGGGGGGGATGGGACTCTGCGGGCAATGGTGCTATCCTACAAGTACGAGTATCTATACACCTAAAAACTGACTGTCTGTCTTTTTCATGACTTAACGGATGAAGACATAGGTACTATGTTTGATGTGAGGACAGATTCATATCTTAGGACGGTCATGTTTTATCTCGAAATACGAAAAACAGCCGAAATTGCGGCTAATATAATTAAGAATAGAATTTTTTTTGTGAAGATATATGTTACTCTTTCAGGTCTTTCATATAACATAGAATTTTTCTACATTCTATTTATTTTAGAAACATTATATTTATGTTTTAATAGTAGGTACTCTAAATATATAGGTACTAATAATATCTACTAATTAGAGACAATGTGAGTAAAGGTGGACTTATCTTAAACTCTAAACGAGATATTTTTTAATCAACCCAACATAGCGTCTGTAACTAGTAGCTGAAAATAAAATAGGGTAACTACCCTAACTATATCTAACTTGATGTTCATAAACTTTATGAATATCTATATATTTTGTAATTTGATTTGAATTGATAATATTAAAAACAAATTTCCAGTCAGTTTTTTTTGTTGCTGGGTTTATAACAGGTATCAGTTTGTATGATTAAAAGGGGTAAGTTTATTATCTTTGACGTACAATGGATTTAAGACCAATCACTAATGTTTCCATTCCGTTTGTACCGTAATTATGTTTCACTATAAGCCTTAAGTAGGTTTACCGCAGCTTTAACTTAAGCTTGCCCACTTTGATCAGCTGACCACTCCACTTCTTAGTGAGGCAAGAAAAGAAGTAGAAAGCAGCTGATTTGCTGGTAACTGGCACGCCCAGACGTCGCTCCGCCTACCTACGTTGGGCGGCTTACGCTAAATTGTCAACTCGGGAAATCCGAACCAGTTCTCTTTCGGTCTTTGTATAGTATACACGTCATTCTCCAAGAATTACAGTTAAATTGAAGTGTTAATTCCCACGTCTGGAAAACACACAGGTATGTAAATATAAAGTTGCTTTTATTGCGACGTTTCTATATTGAATTTTATTCTATTTTTAATTTTATTAGGTTCTTTAGGTGTCATCCTTAATTTATAAGTTAACAAAAAGTTTTAACTTGCAAATAAAAATACAAATTTTAAATTACTTAGTTATGAAGTAGGAGTTGGTAGGTATTTGATTCACCGTGTAGGTTTTTTTAATATTTATTTATTTTCGTTCTAAATTATGTGATTTTTTTATATCTTTTGTGGAAAAAAGTATTATTTTATATTAAATTATTATAAAAAATGAAACGCTGTGTTTCAAGTGCCATTTGCCATTCCAGAAGACCAAGATGTTTTGCCTCTAATCCTGTAATTACACTGCCATATCTCACCCTTCGACCGAAACACAACTTTCAAAGCAAACTGCTTGGTGACTAAAATAAGAGACTGTCTCTCTTATTTTAGTGACATAGGTTCTCATACAGACAATTTTCTAATCTAGGAAACAGGAAACTTTAGAATAAAATGCTATTTAGGTATATTATTTTATATAGAAAGAACTTATTTTTAATATAGATATATTTATTTTTGACATTTATAATTTATACATCTATATTTTTATTATATTATCCAAATATATAATTGTGTGTTGGTAGGTAAGTACATTTGAATCTAATCTGGCAGGGGCAACTCTCCTGAATTAAACTGACTTGTTACTTGTGTTTGCATTCACTGGTAAACGAAGTTAGAATACAAAGTTTATTGTGGTGCATGTCGAATTACAACACAAGATTTTTGGTTTTAGACATCCCATTAGGTCTAGACACTTTCAAATTTATACACTCCTTATTTTGTATACTTTTATTTTAATAATAATGGTTATAACGCTATAGATAGGAAAGAATAAGAGTTTGCAATATAACTATTAATAGGATAGGTGATACGGCGGTAGCGATACAAATTTTAGGTAACAATGCCTGTATTTAGTTTATCACAGTGATAATGAGTGTTATTCTCTACAACACGGTACCATCAAGAAATAAATCTCATATATTCGCTAAATTTGGCTTTCTACATAATCATACGTTTTTAATAGTACATCAACTTCCTATCCGAAAATTAATTTGAATGTTGGTGTTCTTTTTATAAAGTTCTATGTTTTTGGTTATTACGTCTGTGAGATCAGATCAAAGGAATTTATCTATAATATATCTACAGCCTTACTTATTTTTGAGCTACAGTGGGCTATATGGAAATATAATAAAAATTGCTTTACTTGGATTATTTTGAACGACGTCGGTATGTAAACTTCTCGTTCTTAAACTTGTATGAGGATGATAATGTCCGTGTAGGTACCTAGCGAAGGCTAAAAACATTTACTTGTCCGAGGATTCTCGATACGATTGGCACCCCTGCTCTTTAGGGTATTATTTCATTAATAATATTCGCCTATTTTTAATTTAAATATGTACATATTTGAATGTCACTAATAACCTAATGGTACATTGTACCATTCTGGTAATACTAAGTACAAAAATATATGTGTGTGTAACTTTATTCCCAACTGAGTACGACTATAATTAACATTTTGTATACATATGGCATAATTATCAAATTTAAATTAACAGCCCAATCTATATTTGTGTTCATGTATATGTATTTAAGTATTTTTATAAGTTGTTTAGTATCCATAGTACAACTCTGCTCAGTTTGGGACAAGACAACGTTTTACGCAATGTCCTGGGTTATTATTATTATTATCCTTATTAGAATTTAACTAAAAAAATATAACCCTACTCAACACCAACCAAAATAAAAGGGGTCGTAATAAGAAAAGGTCCAAAACTTCACGGGAAACTTGAGATGAAACAACCCCAGATTAATTTTGAGAATCATCAAAAGTGAGCTCTTTAGATTTGGTTTTGAACATTATTCTTTCAGTGAGAGATTCTTCTCTGAGTAATTACTTTATATTTATTTACATACATATGGTGGTTTACCGCTGTAGTGTTAAAATATTATTGAAATAAGAACGAGTAGGTAGAGTAATTCTTGAAGTCTAGATTATGCACAGTATTTGTTGGGGATCTACCGCCGTTTAATCTTTTGATATTCTTATTTTTTTTATTTATAATTTTAGAACAATTATATGATATTTTTTTATATTAGATACTCATTATCTTACTGTGATTCTCAATTGCACGTTGCAATATAAAATATTATTGAATTTACGTGTTTTCATCATTTAGATGCACATACAGTCACCGATTCATTACAGTTAACAGATAGTACTTTATTGTAAATAGGTCTTGCTATTTTTCTTGAATGTGTTCCTCCTTCATTAAATTGAATATTGAATATGGCGGAAGTATAAGTAACTAAATGTGCTAAATTAGAAATGATGAAAAAAATATTTCTATGGGTGGAAGAAATATTTATTACACAAACCGCGTCTTCTAATTCAGTATATGTATTTAGATACGTATATATACTTACACCATAGACCGTATACAATATTCAATTTAATGCAGGAGGAAGAGATTCAAGAAAAATGGCAAAGTGAAGTAAGATTGAAAGAGCATTTTGCATTTTTTGTTTGGTGTCTCTGAAAGCTTTTTACTTTATAAATTTAATATGCACCACTTCGAGCAAAATGAAGAATAACTACTTATAACGGTCTTGTCTGTCTTCTTTTTGTACAGCAATTTGATGAGTTTGTCGACATTATCAATTCGCTTTTACGAGTAAATGTAGGTCTGTACTTATTTTACAGTAATTAACGAGGTTTTATATGTGTATTATATATGTATGCTAGGTGCTCATAACTTTATGAGTATATAATATATATGTCGATTATGTCAATCTTCACTTTCTTTTTGTTACTTTTTAACTCTTCAATTCGAAAATTCTCAAATCAGTGTAGTTACTGTTTATTATATGTAAAGTTCTGAATTTTTTACCTTTTCCATAGAAAGTAATATAATTATAATTTATCGTTACGGCCTTATCTGGTATATAGGGTAGTTAGAGTTAACTGTTAACTTTGCGATGTGAACGCGATACATACATTACGTATATATCTACATCTCGCAGGGTTCATTTGAAATCAACGTGGCAGAGAGCCTATCGCCGTATCTTGGATCATGCTTTGTTATTGGTGTTGCCTTTAACAGAGTTTCAGTCAGAAATAAAAGAGATTTCTTATACGATTTTTGGGTATAAGTTTTGGTAGGTCAACATGCCACGACCCTCTGTACTAAACAGAAAATACAGTTACATCTTTTAAGTCTAGTGAAAGAGGAGGTACAAACTGTATAATCATTTTATAATATAAATTATTTATATAAATGATCATTTAATGATTACAGAGTTGTATGGGATACTTGTTTTATTTGAATGAAAAATGATGGGGCATAATAGATTTGTACTCGAATTCTCTGGGAGTAATATTAATAACAAAGATAAAAATTAGATCAGACGGTATGCAAATGAAGCTTGGAGCGAAATGCTAATTTCCGTGGGAGAGCCCGTCAAACTTTTTAATCTCATGTGACGTCACCCCCTCTTCCTCCCTCTTCTCGACAATGTTGTCAGAGGGATGATTGAAAGTCCTCATTTGTGTTTTTATTACTTTTTAATTTTTCCCATTTTCTCGAGTGGTCGCGTTCGTTTCACACTTTATTATTTCTTGGCAACTTTTTTAACTAGCTCGAGGCAACGGTAATGTGCGTACATCGGGTATAATTTCACTGTCTACAGCTATAATTATTTGCTGCTTTTTAAAATCCCTATAATCCAATTTTGCCCTCTCGAATGGAGAGTAATGAATGCACCCCGGATCTGCTTGCACCCACCCTCTATTCACAACCCTGTCATTGTTGATGCGTCAATCATTCCGCGGCTACAAACTGTATTATGCAGGTATAATATTTAAATAAGAACCTTATGAATATACGCACAGAGTTTTGCGAATGTTGGAACCGAAGGTCAAATGTGGGTATGTAATTTTATATCTGTACAGTACAGATGCACGTGACATGTGCAAGGTTTAGACTTTTAGGTACGTAATTGTTCATACAGCAATCGATTATGTATGTATGTTGGTATATATTTGAATATGAAGACTTTATACAAAGTTGTCTGCGTATTGTTTTGTAATCTGTGTTTCAAGGAGGTACCGGGTGGAGGTCGACCTGACATGGTACATTGATAACAATGGGATCACTAATTCCTTCCATTCATCCATTCATCCATTCCCTATATATCTGACGTATTTCTTATTATCGGCAACAACCTTGAAATGGACGCTTACTTACTTATATGTACAGAGAACTGGTCTAAGAATACAATCATGTACAAACAAAAATGTATGATGCATAGATTTTTACCAAATACGTATATCTACAGACTACTACACTACATTGCACAATTAGATATTCAAAGTTTAAGTTAAGGTAGAGTCTCGATGTTTGCCATACAGTATTGTCACTACAATACTAATAGTCTCGTTAACAATCGCCAAATGTGCTGCACATTTTCGTTAACAATTTGACATTTCTATTGCATATACGGAGAACCGTGACACGCCGCAGCGGAGCGCAACGAATCGCGCTCGTTATGGGAATTACAAAGTCTGCGACATTTAGCGGTCACGTGGTAGTTGCATGCACAGTCGTCCACACAAGTACAATAATAGCACACAATTTTTTTGGACAGCGGTTGCAATCTAGAGAAATGATTATTATTATTTATTCATCCATGTATTTGTCTTTTTCTATTCCTTATACCTCATCCATGTTTATGTTTTTTTCTATTCCTTTTACTTCATTAAATTTCAGATTCCATTAAATTACTTATACTACTATATATATTTAAATGGTCTATTATATTACTAAGCACTTCGCACATAGCACACCGCACAGGTAATCATCATTTTTATTACAGTTTTCGCTAGAAGGTGATAATTAGTGTTTTGTTCCATGAACAATCTTCCACACTCAGTTAAGACCTA